GTCTGAGAAATGGGAGATAACTTTACAAAGTAACTACGTATACATTCCAAGGCTGTTAAACCATTTCTTGGCCAAATAAACTTGGCAAACAGATAAATGGCCAATTACATTAAGTCTTGTATCTCTCTCCAATAAGATTTCACTCAACAGTCTACAGCAAAAGTCACTTCAGAGTCAATCAACTTTTTCCCAGGATACATGTATAAGACAATATATAGAGACTTATCAAAGCTGTCAATTATCTCAATCATATACTGAAATAAAAAATGTCAAGTATAAGTTCATTATTTCTTTATATCTGTCTACTTAAATTATTGTGCTATATCACAAGAATGAAATAACTTCTCTGATACTCAAGTAAGCTGTGCTCTACATATGAAAGATACTGTTCTGCTGAGTTTTTATTTAAACGACAATCTTGTTAACTAAATTAAATCAAATAACATGTATTTTCAAATTCTTTTTGCTAAAAATAAATCTACATGCAATTTCATATTAGAAAGTAAGTGCATTCCTAGGCCGAAACCAAGTAACATTTTATCATCTAATAATTTCATTACTATCAAAGGACTACTAGTTGAGGATGAGCTTGGAATAGGATGAATTTAGCAGCTGACTGTTCTGCTCTGCTGACAATAAGGTTAACCAGTCTGAGCCTCAGGCCAGTGCAACACATCAGACACAATTTTTGCACTTAATTAATTCAGGCAGCCAAGAACTTCTATAACAAACATTTAACAACTTTCCAAAACACATCACATCTGAATTCAGGCTCTGGAAAATCGTAAATCTGCAACGGTTTAATTTTATTTATTGACTGAAGCTATTTGATTATAATACCATCTACATGGTAATATCGTGAAGTTGAATCTGTTGTACTGGTACCAGACTGACTAAAATCCAATATGGCTGCTCTCATATCTAACATTAGTGTCCATTCACTATAGGTATACCTTAAGTAGAACTGACAGTTTATAACCAGGATGCTTCTTATTCTTCCACTTTAAAACAACTGGCACCAAAATATCACAACACATGTTTTTCATTATCCATAAAAAATAAAGCCTTACATCCTAACATATGTTCAACTCATCATGCTGGCAAGATGGTAACATCTTAGAGGAGATTCATCGTCTTATAATCACATATACACTGTGTTTGATTGCCATATTATGGCTGTTTTCTTCAAATTATCGACAGGATAGAAAGAAATGAATATTAAAAAATTACAACCCTCCTCAAAAGATGACCTTGATATAAACAATATATATGAGAACATTTTCTAATTGCCTTCATATTGCTGCTACATTTTGTATGTCTTGAAAAATAAATATTTTTTTTAATGACTAATAGAAGAACCTACAATCCCATGGAATGTACAATTTACAAGCTAATATACTGAAATATGCAACTAAACAATTGCCTACACAACATCAAAGCATACATCTATAACACCTCCCTTTGGTTTTACAAGGTATGAAGCAAGAATGACATATTTTTATGATAATTATTAAATAGACTACACTTTTTTTATTAGTTTTATTTCAAAGGTTTCTATTTTCACAACTATTATTCTATCCTCAAAAACTGATTTTTTTTTTTTTTTTTTTTAAATCCCCCAAAAAATGACAACCTTTAGAGCACATATACAAAATGTATATATTTATTACCAACTTATTTTTGAGACTTGAATATTTGAGTCTTGGACTCAGGTGGGACTCACTCAAATTATGAGAACCCACTATATCTCTTAGTATTGGGTCTCCTCAAAATTTTGAAATTTTCTGGACTTGCCTGAACAAGTCTACAAATACTGTACAGGTTATCATCATCATCAGAGAAAAATTTTGGAGACTTTTACCCAGAGTAATTACCTTATACACTAATCATAAAGTAACATATGATCTAACACATATTGAAAATGGTGGTGGACTATATGATAGTGTTCAAGTCAGCCTGTTCCCAGCATTTTACTTTTCATATCTGTACTGGTCATGGTTGATAATCACGATTCAGTGACATGAGGGTGTACCAGTACTATTGTTAGTAGGTGAAAAGATACTTCTGAAGAGGAGATAAATAGTAAATCTGACGTCTCATAGGAATTACTTTTCCATACCGGTATGGCATTTTCTTTTTACAACAACTCATGGTCGTCAAAAAATATTAACAATTTAAAGATGCATTAGAGAAGAGTTTAATATTGGAAGTATTATTGCTGACATAAAATAAATTTCTTGCATCTGAACATGTACATGTAATGTGTATTCTGGTTGCTTGCCAACTTTATACCAAGACAAATAATGTCATATTTCCCCATCAGTCATTTTTACTATATATCTATAACAGGAAATACCAAGTATCACGTTATTATAAACTAAAGCTTTTTTAAGTCAGGGTTAAGAGCTACAGAGTGTTTCTGTTTTGTACAAAATTTAACCTCTGAATAATGTTGATAGGAGGCACCGAGCTGCTGTTTTCCAGCTTAATTATCAACACACCAGTTAGCCGCCAATTACAAAATCTAAATATAGACCAGATGGGGCCAGGTGTTGTTACTATGTACAGTAAACCTCATTTTCTTTCTCAAATTATTCATGAATTCATTAACATAGGTATGCAAAGATTAAAATGTACCCTTATCCTTTTTCTGATTCAAGCATCCCATCTAAATTTGGATCCCTTTATCGTCGTAATTTCAAAAGTTTGATTTGCTGCAGTTTTGTTGCAGTTTTTGAAGATCCTAACAAGTTTCCAACTTTTCTTACCAACATGTCAGGTGTTCAGTTTGATTAACAATCACTACTTTCAGTAGTTGCAATAATACTTTGATCAAAAGTCTATGTATACATGTATAAATAAGTGACAATTTTAATTATATACAGTAATAGTTTTGCTTCTTATAGAAAGTGAATCCATGAATTAAATTGATGCAATTCTTGATTAATAAAACTCTTATCAGCAGGTAGAAGTGTACTGATGCTACCCATGCCTTGTTGCGGAGAAATCAACTTCTAGATATATATATCACTGATATGTGATCTTGATCTTTACAAATCTATATATAATGTACCGGTATGAAGACATCTACCCTCGAAGACTGTATTTACCAGTATAAAGACATCTCCCCTCTAAGACTGTATATACTGGTATGAAGACATCTGCCCTCTAAGACTGTATATACTGGTATGAAGACATCTACCCTCTAAGACTGTATATATCAGTATGAAGACATCTCCCCTCTAAGACTGTATATACTGGTATGAAGACATCTGCCCTCTAAGACTTTGTATACTGGTATGAAGACATCTCCCCTCTCAGACTGTAAATACCAGTATGAAGATATCTACCCTCTAAGACTGTAAATACCAATATGAAGACATCTGCCCTCTAAGACTGTAAATACCAGTATGAAGACATCTCCCCTCTCAGACTGTAAATACCAGTATGAAGACATCTCCCCTCTCAGACTGTAAATACCAGTATGAAGACATCTCCCCTCTCAGACTGTAAATACCAGTATGAAGACATCTCCCCTCTCAGACTGTAAATACCAGTATGAAGACATCTCCCCTCTAAGACTGTAAATACCAATATGAAGACATCTGCCCTCTAAGACTGTAAATACCAATATGAAGACATCTGCCCTCTAAGACTGTAAATACCAGTATGAAGACATCTCCCCTCTCAGACTGTAAATACCAGTATGAAGACATCTCCCCTCTAAGACTGTATATACTGGTATGAAGACATCTGCCCTCTAAGACTTTGTATACCGGTATGAAGACATCTCCCCTCTCAGACTGTAAATACCAGTATGAAGATATCTCCCCTCTAAGACTGTATATACTGGTATGAAGACATCTGCCCTCTAAGACTGTATATACTGGTATGAAGACATCTGCCCTCTAAGACTTTGTATACCGGTATGAAGACATCTCCCCTCTCAGACTGTAAATACCAGTATGAAGACATCTACCTATGAAGACTCTATCCTAGTGTCTGGTTTGTATATTTACACAGCCATATGCTTTGTAATGTGTTACAGCACATTAACTGCCATTCTTCAACAAGATCTACAGTAAGTTATGCAGGCAAGATTAGAGACAGGTACATTTGTGCACACAATGCCTGTTTAATGTAGAGTCATGTGATTAAATGATCTTGCTACCTGTTTCCTACACTTCTTATACCTCACATGAAAATTCACATTTTTGAAATAGATATAACTACTCTGCTGATTTTCGGGACTCACAATTGTTTTGCGGGCCTCTATCAAATTTTGAGGATCCAATATATCTCTTAGTAATGTGTCTCATCAAAATTTTAGAAATGTTGTTATGAAACAAAAATCAATGCAAGTTCTCACCTTAAAAATTATAGATCAGTTTAATCATCTTTTTATATTAAATAAATCATTTAATTCAATTTCACATGTAAACTTTATTGTTTCTGTCCCTCTCCATAATTAGTTATCATAAAAAGGTTATGGCATTTTATCTCATATCCAGTAAAGAAATACTAAATTCTAAATGAAAAACTTAGTACAGTCTGCCAGATGTACTTACTTAATATAGACATCAACAACTACCAACTAATACCCTATATATCATTTACTGTCAAATGTCATGTGCAAAGTAGGCTAATTATATAGTGCAGTTCCTCTGACGTAAATGTTCTTCAAAATAACACAGGAGTAAAATTGTTCTTTCAAACATACTTTTTATGAGTATAAAACAAATGCTTACAGGTGCATTTCATGGTTAAATTGACAAGAAAAATAAAGTGATATGATTCAGATGGGGATTTTTCATATTTTATGTAATCAATGATTCATCCTCAATCAATTGCATATTTAAAAGCAGATTTGTAATGTCACATCATTCAGAGTGACAACATTATGGCCAATATCATATTAATATAAGTGATGTTAAATAGTATATCAGTACAGTTATACAGTATCAATTGATAAAACCAATTATCAGTCTGAGGGATCTTACCTTTGTCTGTAATTTTCAGCAGATTGATGAGATCTTACACTTCCAGAGAAAATCATTTCTGGAATTTATAAATCTATATCCCAAAACACCTCTGCAAGCAACTGCACACTAGCATGGACAACACACCACAATTGTGCACCTATACAGCTAATAAAGCTCTAGGAGAACCATCCAAACTGGACCACTGCTGCTACCAAACCATCTGTTTTATCATGGGATAATGAGGTTAAATGCTGCCTGCCATGTTTTGTCAGATAAAGTGATGAAGTAAGATAAATTTTCCTGATCAACCTTCCATCACTAGTGGTAATAGACCAGTACAACACTGCCAGTATATATAACTCTACAATAACATCCTCCTCTCTTCCTAGCACTCCGGTTCAACACACTGGCAGTGCAGAAAACCTTGCCAACCCACCAGCTCTAGATCTATCCCACTTCACAAGTCTAAAATGCAACAACACTTGTCTTCCCATTATACATATTTAGTAGGTCATCAACTTATTATTTTTATTTCAGCACTTATAATCATTTCTCAGATGGTTGCTTTTCTAATTAGCCTTGGTGAAATGAAGGGGAAATTTACTATCTTGAACAGTACTTGTGAAGCTGAGGGGCTTACCTGGATAAAAAAGAACTACTGCACAATATATTCATCTTCGGCAATACTTATGATTATTTGCAATTACAACCAATGCTGAAATTCATGGGGGTGATGGAGATACCATTTTACCTTCAAATATTCACTGCATATCAACATTTTTCGACATACCATCCCCTCCACCACCATTCAACTTAGGAGCTAGTATGAAATGCAAAAGACTCAAGTATTTGCACCATCAAACAAAATCATTGTCTAGTTCTTTCTGACAGCATATTTGAAATATTGATATATTTCCTGCTCTGTGTTTAACACTAGACTATTCCAAAAATAGTATCTAATTATATCAAAATTCTTAAAAGAAAATTTGGATAATGTCTGCTTGACACCTAAATGTAAATATGAAAAAAACCACACTACACCGTTCTTTTTGAAATACAAAATAAACACCAGTAACTTAGGCATTTACAAAATTATTACAGTACTTCAAATCAAAACATGATTCAAGAGTCTCTCTCTCACTGTGCTTGATGTTAATAAAATATAATTAATAATTAATTAATTTTGGGCATGTTATCCCATATTACCAAAATACAACTAGATGATATGAAGAGTTATTTGATATTTTGTTCTGGACTAATTTCAAAACATTAACCTTTCACCTAACACTGTTTGCTGCGAGGCATCTTCATTGAATTTCATGTTATCACATTAGAGTACAAATAAGCAGGTATCCTATTAACTCATGGTATAATATCTTGTATAAATGAAACATGTTATTCTTTGAGTAGACTTATAAAAATTTGTGAAATGGTGCTCTAGGTTCGCTGGAAAAAAATTCTACAAGAACTACTTCACATATATTGTTCTCTCAAAAAACACTCCATATTTCCTGTTTCGTTGTTCTTTTTTGTTAGACATAATTATGTCCATGTCACTTTATTTTTGGAGATGTGATCAAATTATCATTTTTGATATGTGACAATTGGGAGAAATGTTACAAGTGGATATGAAATGTAAAAAATGTCAAACATCTTTTGAGTCAAACTTATATTAATACTTTTTGTTGGCCCAGATGGAAACACTCCCAAGGTCTTACAATAATGGAGGACACCAGAATACCCTTGAAAAACCAATGACAGGTGACTCCATACCTTTTCTTATCCCTTTGGGGAATCTAACCCCAAACATTTTTGCAAAAAGGAAGTACATTACCACTGTGGTGCCCAACAACCCTCTAAAGCATACACCATTTTGGCTACATTCATGTATACTATAAACAGGGACCATAGACAAAAACAAAATACAACCAAGCCACTTGAAACTGGGTAAATTTAAGTGTTAATACAGTTTAAAACTTACCGTTTCAGGCACATGAGGACATTGCAACTAAAGATGAGTTATTTACATTGGACATAGGTATGTTTACCAAGATTGAACAACAACATACCTGCCAACTTCTAATGTGCGAGAACAACATTTTTAACTCAACGAAACCTTGTGTGATACATCATTTGTGACAAAGGAAAAATTCATTAATGTATAGTTAATCAATACTTTTTTGATAGGTTTAAATTAACAAAGTGTATGTTTTACTACACTATAAAAATGAAAAAAATATTTGATTTTTTTTGCAAGTGAAAATTTTCAGTATTTATTGAACCCACACAATATATCAGATATTAAGAGTTATGATTTCCAGTATATGTTTGGTTGTTAGTAAGGACATGTATTTCAAAATATGATGCTTCCGAAAGAATTTGTTCAATTGAAATAAGGAAAAAATGATAATTATTATCATATGAAATTTTAAGCTGTCATTTTATTGAAATTTTTGAGAACGAGGCAATGAATAACTTCTTTCATAAAATTCAAAATGTTTTAATCTAGATCTAATGGTCGATGATATTAGAATATATAAATTTACTGTGAAATATATATCTATTAAATAACTGTAGACAGATACAAATCAAACATGCTTGTAATTTTAGTCAACTTTTTGTTGAGTGAAATATTTCTCTGGTCAGATTTCTTACTCAGGATGCCCAACTTTGAAGTTCTTTAAGGACTGATTTGGTTTAATTATTAGTATTAAATGAGGAAAGCTTGCACATTGTTACATAATAAAGGTTGTTTTTCAAAGTGTTTTTCATGTTGAATTTGTTATTTGACCGAATTGGCAGTATGAACATGGTACTTTTGTAATAACTACTTAATGTTCTGTATAATGACCTCATCTTAACAAAGACCCCCTCCTGTGCCCTGAGAGTCCAATTGTCTACTAGGATCTCTGATATCGGGAGATTACACCAATTTTTTATGCATATGATCTGGAGGCAGGTCAGAGGAATAAAAATCAGTAAACTCACAACTGAATTGAGAAAATTGGCAGGTATGCCACAACGGGTAGAATACATTGCCTTAATTCCAATAAGTTTTCTGATCTCAGATAAAAATCCTGTGAACTTTGACACATTTAAGTCAGAATCTATGATATAAAACTCTTTTATATAAATGAACATAAGTGAATGAAAACATAACAAAAACTTTTATCATAGTCTCTCACTTACTGGTACACAGATGTACCAAAATTCAGAGGTTGTGTTGAAATTCATGTACATCTCTGATTCCCTGTAAAAAACGAGCTTTATCCATTCCTGTTTAATGTTTACTATACCGTATACTATGTGACAGAACTATACTTGTCACTGCTCAATCATAATCATATGATAATATAATGTAAATAAACATAAACAAATGTTCTCATTTCTGAGTCAAATAAAATATTGCTTTTATAGTCTGCACCTCTTGGCCGGGTCATGCACAATACACCTTGTGCCTCTACCAAGTGCCTACAAGGCATACATACTCAATTCCAATTGCTTAGTCATTCAGATTTCAGCTATTCGCACTCATTTTTGTCAAAATTATTACATGTAATAAATTACACAATAATCATACTTATTCGATATCGGACAAGTGCTCTATCAGCAAAAACTAAGGTGGGTCTGGAGAAGGAAGTTGTTCTCAAGCACGAAGTGCTTTTGAAAGAAAGTATGCGTTCGAAATAGGTATTGCCATTAAACCGTCATTCTGTAATCATGTTATAATAATGTAAGTGGACAGGTGAATTTCAACTTACTGTTTTCCTTCTTTTGCAGTCAATAAGTCACACTTTTGTTACGATCAAGCAGGAAGAATAATTCGGCAGCCATGTTTCAGAAATAGCAACGGAAGTGGCGCCCTCGAAAGGGAAATAAGGGAATTAACTCCCGATTCAAAGGTTTGAGAACCGATGGGTATGTACTTTCTTTACAATGAATATATCTCATCTACAACTATTGACTACGTAATACTTTCTTCGTTTGCAATTTAGAAAAAAAACTATAAAATGACATCTAACAATGAAAGAAGTGAAATAAATAAAAACGCTTCAGCTGTGAAAGTGAAAGTAGACTGCTTTTGACCAAGTTAGATCATCAGGAACGTCAACACATCCTCTCATTACAGAAGATTGTTCTTTTCTGGACTCCAGACACATTGGTGTATAAATAAGTCATACGTACTTAAAATAACCATAAAAAATGTCATGTTGTCAATAAACTGACTTGAAATATGTACTTAAATGTACATGTATGTGATAAACCTCATTTAAATACAATAAATCAAATCTGTTGTCTTAATTTGTTTACAATTAAAAAAAAAAAAACAACAAAACAGTAGAATGTGATCCAATGGAAAGGAACCGGACTGTAAAATGAAGTACTTGTTAGTGAATCTATTTTCAGAATGTACCCGACTGTGCTTTTCTGAAAAATTGACAAATTGTCAATGTTTTTAAATTTAGATAAATTTTACCATTGTAGTAAATGGTAATTCATCTGACATGCTATTATTGTCAGTTAAAGAAGTGTTAGTTAAATGTCTTACTTGTTAAGGTTCATTCCATCCCAGGTTCTTGATAGATTTGTTGTAGTGGACATCGTGATGTTTATTGTGCTATCATAACTTATTTACTTCCTGTTTCAATCTTTTGTAGATAGGTTATTTCCCAAAATGTTTGTATGTAGATAACCCTATCAAACAAAAATTACAAGATTAAAACTCCCTGGTTTAACCATATTAATAAACTCTATTAAAACTTTGAGGTAAGTTTTACTGGATGTTAGAAACCTCCAGTGCTAATTTTTATTCCCCCCCCCCCCCCCCCCAGAATAACCATATATGGAATTTTATATGATGAAATTGTACAAAGAAAACCACTATGTTTTCACCTTAGATTTAGGCTCTTTTGATAAGTATAACATTAATGTTAAATGTTTGAAAAAATGTTTGTGTATATATATATATATATATATATCAATGGTATGGTTTAATATAGGAACTGTATAACAAATGTTTGTGAGATGCATATAACTACCTTTCTTGACTCTTTTATATCTTTTCATTTCAGTTATTATTTCTGAAATCTTCACTGAAAAGAAGAAATTTTGCTCAATATACTCTTGACATTTTTTGGAAACTGTAACAGACAATGGAGTCACAAGATTTTACAAAGTGGTTAGATTCTACCAAAGAATATTTCAAAACATTGAAGGAGGGAGAGAAAACACAGACCATGGAAGTATTACTACAGCTTTGTGGGCCAGAACAGTTGTTGTTTTTGACCCAGACTTATCTCCCCTTGAACTGTAAAATTGATTTTCTGACCTGTCTTCCCAATGAAATCAGTGATCAAATTCTTTGTTACCTTGATGCGACCTCAGTACACAGCTGCTGTTTGGTATGTATAACATGTAAGGAATGCCTTACAATCACATGCTTTGAATCAATTTATTTTTGTGAAAGGATTATTTTTGCTGACACAAAGTGATAAACAGTTAAAAATACAACATTTTAAACATTAATGAAATTTGAGACCCGCTAAAATATAACAATTATACAGTGATTTGGGATGCATATGTCTCACCTGGATAATACTACTCATAAAAAACCGGTACTGGTCAAAATTTCATTAATGAAATAATTAGTAGTCTCCAAATGGTACAGCAGGAGAGAATCGTGAGGTTTGGACTTTTAGTCAGTTGTTAGTCCAGCATAACCTTGTCCATAATATATCTAGCATACTTCATTTCATTTAATAAAATGGACAGATGAATATAACCTGCACGTAGTGTGAAATATAGTCTTTGTCAGAAAATGTAGCAAAATCAGGTTTGGACCACAAAATTTTAGACAAACGCCGGAACCACTCACACTAATTCTGTTACATTTCTTTCTCCTTTTTGTTTGGAGCATTCTCCCTGTTAGTCACAAGAAAAGCTGTTTCAGAGTGAATTTAGAAAGTAGCCTCAACTTCAGACCAGAAATCAAAATTGGATGCTCTTATTGTTAATTAATTTTCCCAGCAAGTCCAGTGTCAAAACATTTATGTATAAGTTCAGCCTGGTGCATTCCAAAATAGGGTCATTACTATATTAAGACTCAAAAAAATTGATTGTACATAATGCTAAGTACTGACCAAATGTTTTGTAAGGGGGGTGGGGGGTGGGCGGCTGGTCATGTTCAGAATAACTATTCCAGTGACCAACATGGATTAATGTTTGTTCATGTATTGTATGTCATACAGGTCAGCAAGTCCTGGAACTTGTGTGTAAGCCACTGTAAGAAGGTATGGACAGAGCTTGTTTGGCAGATTGGTGGTGTGAGACAGATAGTCCTTAACAAACCAGCTCATGTGTACAGGAATCAGTTCATCAGACGACAGACTTTCCTCACTACCTCACAGCGTGGGTCATATGTGTCAAGAGAGTACAGCCAGCAAAACATTGATAATTTCTGTGTTTGGTCCTACAGACAAGGACGCTTTGCAGTGACTGGTGAGTATAGGTTCATTTCTATGTATCGTCCCTTTGACAGGGACACTTTGCTGTGTGTAGTGAGTAGTGAGTGGTGAGTATAGGTTCATTTCTATGTATCGTCTCTTTGACAGGGACGCTTTGCTGTGTGTAGTGAGTGGTGAGTATGGCTTCATTTCTATGTATCGTCTCTTTGACAGGGACGCTTTGCTGTGTGTAGTGAGTGGTGAGTATGGCTTCATTTCTATGTATCGTCCCTTTGACAGGGACGCTTTGCTGTGTGTGGTGAGTTGTGACAGGTGAGTATAGGTTCATTACAATGTATCGTCCCTTTGACAGGGACACTTTGCTTTGTGTGGTGAGTAGTGAGTGGTGAGCATGGCTTCATTTCTATGTATCGTACGCTTTGCTGTGTGTGGTGAGTGGTGAGTTTGGCTTCATTTCTATGTATCGTCCCTTTGACAGGGACGCTTTGCTGTGTGTGGTGAGTGGTGAGTTTGGCTTCATTTCTATGTATCGTCCCTTTGACAGGGACACTTTGCTGTGTGTGATGAGTGGTGAGTATGGCTTCATTTCTATGTATCGTCCCTTTGACAGGGACGCTTTGCTGTGTGTGGTGATTATAACTTCATTTCTGTATGTGGTCCTAAAGGCAGGGACACTTAGCTGTGGTCTCACAGACAGAACACTTTGCTGTGTCGGACGAGTGTAGTTTTGTTTCCGTGTGCAGTTCTTTAGGTTGGGGCATTCTGCTGTATCAAGTGTAAACGGTTTTCATTTCTGTTTATGGGCCCATAGACAGGGGCAATTTGCTGTGTCTGGTAAATATGATTTCACTTGTGTGTTTGGTCCTACAGACAGGGACTCTTTGATGTCTGGTTAGTATTGGTTTTTTGGTTTCGTTTCTGTGTTTGTTCATTAAATGGGTGCTCTTTGCTGCATCTCATTAATATGATTTCATTTCTCTGCATGGTCTTAGAGACAGGATCACTTTGCTGAAGCTGTATTGTGAAAAACTTCATTGTTTCATGCAATGTTATTAAATGAAGAAAACGACAAAAATGTTTTTGAAATGCAAAGACAAATTGTAATTGTTTCAGGTAAAGGTGCTGCAGAAGTGTTCGTGGGAGAGATAGATTCCCCTGAAGATGGAGTTTCTGTACCAATAGACTGTGCTGTACGTGCCATGGCAATGGACAAAGAATATTTATACATAGCATCAGATTCTATTGCCCTTGTTTACGACCTTCAAAAATTTGACCTTTATCAGATGTTTCAAGGTCATGTACGCTGTCTTCTCTCCATTGATGGTGACTCTTATAGAGGATTAGTTTTGACTGGATCAGCTGATTGTACCATTAAGTTGTGGAATCTTTACACTGCAGAAATAATCTTCTCTTCTCATTTTCACCATGTTGGCTGGGTCTGTCATGTACAATTTTTAAAGAATTTGACTCCATCAATAAAGAGTTTCATGTCTTATGATTCCAATGCTCATTTAAGTGTATGGACTGTACATAAATCTGAACGATCTGAAGTGTGGACTGTACAACATGTTGACGATGTGTTGACAGACATGAAAAGGATTCCATTACCCTCCGATGACAAGTGTGGGTTTTTTGTGTTCCAGAAACCTACTGATGTGTATCAGACAAAATTCTGTATAATAGCTTACTTTAATATAGTATTACAACACTCAGAGAATCATAAATACAAACTAAAATTGGTCAAACATATAGATATAAATCACCGCTTTCAAGACATGTTGGCTATAGGTGATAGGTTTGTGGTATTTACTCAAGTGACGCTGGAGAAACATTCAGTATGTGTATATGACTTACACAGGCAAAGACTATTGATGAGGGTACCACTACCAGACGCACTTCCTGTAGGAAAATGGGCAGTGACCTTGGAGAACCAGGAATGGCTGAGTGGTTTTACTAGTGCCAACCTACCACAAAGTCTATTCTTTGTACTGGTCCCTCAATTTATACATAAACATGAGATCAAGCTGCTACACCACACCGACAGAAAACCTTAAGGTAGTGATACAGCACTTCCCAAGGTGACAAACTGATTTTAAAACCCACCCCTGTTTAAAGATAAAATTAACTTTCCAAAGATGACCAAACTTTACACAATCTCTTTCAACAGCTTCAACTTTCACTTTGATATCTATTGGAAAAAAAACACTGGATAAGGTCTTATATATTCCTGAGAAGTGAAGAACTTACTTTAAACTGAAAGAAATAAGGAAATTCTGTGTAAGTTTTGGAAATAAACACTATAGAATTACTTTCTTAGATGAGTAGCTGTATATATTTGTATTGAGCCTGTTGTCTGTTGTAGTTTTATGGTATACATTTGCCAGAGAATCTGATATGAACATTGAGAATCTAATACTTCTTTTTTCCTTCTATAGCTGAACTATATCATCATGGACTTTGATATAGATATAAGTCTGTGGCAGCAGTGAATGTCAGTCTCCATACGGGTTAAGGATTACTAACATGATTTTCCAAATTCTACAAAATGTACATATGTGCAGAATTTGCCAGCGGTCTGGGTCATTTTGAGATAGAATCTACCTATAGCAACTAACTGGTGGCTACTGTATTGAACAACATACTAGAGGTCTGTTGCATGCCATCGAGAGCAATAAGGGTAAAGTGTCTTTCCTTGTGCCACAACAACATCTGCACAGACAGGTCTGTTTTTTAGCTTCTTGAGAAAAATGCCCCATCACATGTAGGCACATTGAGATTGCAAAGTCCAGCACTTAATCAAGTGGGATATCACAGCCTCTGTGGGGTACACCAAGAAAAAACAAAGAAGAAAAAGAAATTGGTATGCTTTATTACAAATTTTACTTTGTTGTGAACACTTGTGCAAAGACACTACATAACACACATCTGCAGAAAATGTTAAACATGACAAGTTATCTTCTCATAATATTTATATAGGCTTAACATGTTAATTAAGATGTAAAATCTACACAGTTCTCATTTGACTGCAACTGATTTCTAGGTACATACTGTATTTGGAGGGTCCGACTCTTCCCCAGTAGTAAAGTGGAAGGAATTAAAATGGTTTGAGATTGGACTAAATGCAATGTTCACTAGTCATCCTTTATACACATTTTCATATTCTTGACAGCTTTCCGTACATTTGTTTGCTGGGATATTAAGCAGAATTTATAAAATCTACCCAAATAAATTTAGTACAGGTGAAGAGGCGTCTACTGACAGTAACCAGAAAATATGTAAGGCACACAGATGAAGAGATAACTGGTTAAAATTATAACCATGTAGAATTTTGTAGGTTATACTGAACCTTCTACTGGCCAAATAATGCTAACACATTATCATTGATACTAGAATGTTGGAACAAAGACACCAGGAGCTAGGGGTGATCATTAACCCAGTAGGAGTTGTACTCCAGTAGTTGTCATAAATTAGGTGGGATTTTGTAGCACTGGTCACTAGACTAATACTTATGAAATAGTACACTATCTTATACAAAATATTAAATAATACACAATCATTTGATAGATAGATGGCATGTTGCCTTGTATTGTTATGATGAACGTGAAGCAAAACTTTGGAAAATTTTGTGCAACAAACTTGTGATCAGAAAATTCAATGAGTTTTACTTTCTAAAAGATATGATGTATACATTTTATCAACTGGAACATATCATGGCACACAGTCTAGTTAATGTTTGAATAGTGTCTTTGATATTTCCTTAGATCATTTGCATTTATTTCCTGACAGTTTTGATTTGAACTTTGACCTTTTTGTGACTCAGTTTGTCAAGTAAATGTTGGTATAATGACTGAAATGTTCTATTAAACCTTTTTCATTTCTTTTGTTGCAATTCTAATTTGAACTTTGACCTTATTTGTGACCATGACCTTTGTTTGTTTTCTGGTGGGGATTGATATGAATAAGGAATGAATCGTTAAAATGTGTTTTTGCAAAAGAATCATAATCTTGTGAATCAAAAGCTCAATTTGAATTTCGAATGCATTTTTTAAAAAATACGATTCTCAATCACTTTCCAACTGATAATTATTCTATGTTGTTTTTGTGACCCTTACGTACTGCACAATCTGCTGCATGACATGTGACCATATTAATCATTGGATGCTGTTCAGGATAAAGGCACACATGAGTTGTCTTTCCTGAGGTAGGTTGGGTAAAAATAGATATCTTTATCCAAGCTAGAAAACAAAAGAATCCTCCATGAAATCTGATTGAAAATTATTCCAGACAATAGAATGCTGACAGATCGATGGACAAAACACACCATACCATACATGTAACTAGTAATATATACGGCTTAGATGTATAAAAACACATTGCATATTATATGTTGATAAATAAAATAACATGGTTTGTATTCTGTAATAAATAACAACAATTAAATGTTAAAAAATAACAATCAAAATTTATCTTTGGATCAAAATGATTAAATATCACAGAAAATGCCATATAAGGGTAGTATATATGTATTATTTACCCATCCCTAAGTAAAACCATACAACATAATGATCGAGAATACAAAGATATATACACATATTAATTCCATATTTATTAGAGCTTGTTATAATTCTCTACAAAACACAAGAAACACTCGAGAAAATGATGAAGTATTGCAGATTATAATTAGCTAAAGTTTGAACCTTAATTGATTCACTTTTATCATACATGAAATTATTTGAATTTCTTGAAAATCAAATTTGCCAAACATTATTCTCTTTAATGATAAATGTTAAATTTCTGGCTTAAAAAAATAGAAAAATGGAAATTCTTTACTCATCTAATGGTTCCGTTTGTACAGTGTTGAAATGGGTCATATATACATTTTGAACACAAAATTAGCATATATTACTGGAAAGATATCTGATGTTGAGAAAGTTATATAAATGAACACAAGGTCAGTAATTTGTTCAGCAGAACAGGACAGATCCATGCATTACCACAGATCTCAGTTTAACACTGATTTATCCAAGTAAACATACAACCAATGTCCAGTTAGTCTCAGGAAGGTAACATATCATTGCTATTGATACGAGTAACATTAAGACACATATCAGGACACAAACTTGGATGTGATAAGAGATGCAATGTACCTATTGTCAGTATGGATGCAAAAATTCAATATGACTAGATATTATGTTATGGATACTCTTTTCTGGGCAAATATTTTCATTGAAAAAAAGGCTTGACAATCAAGAGAAACAGTTGAAAGAGTACTCCAGTTTCCAACCAGATCACCATTAATCGTAAATATATTTTAATAACTGACCTATGTTTTCTTCTTTTCATTTCAATTGAATTTCAACAAAATCACAAAACTTGATTGAAAAGAAAAATACTGAAGTAATTTACATGAATTAATTGAGAATCACAAGTCATGAATGTAATGCACATTTCAAATTCTGTCCATATCGATACTGATGAGAAACAAACAACAGAATTAAACATAGTATTAGATACATGTATCATGGACAATATGGTGTGTGATGAGGGAGTTTGTAAAAAAAAAAAAACCTGTGCTCTCTGTGCTATTACATAAATGTATTATGCTGTTCTGTCCTTCAGTCCTGGCTGAACCGGTCGTTCCATGGTGGGCGCTCTGTTATTGGAACTGATTCAGGCTTCTTGGCACTTTTTGGTTTCTTGTTTGGCTGTAAGGATAAATACGATAATGTAATCATTAATTATTCTCATAATTGTTTCTTATTTGACTGTAAGGAAAAAACACTATACATGTTTTTTTCTATTGACTAAATGTAAATTATGTAGAAAATTAAATGTTCTATGAAGATTATATATATTTGTATATTATTTAATGATCTAGCAATTCTCTAAAAGCACTATCAGAAATAATACAAAGATATGTACACCAGGATGAGTCACTCTTTTGAAAATTATCCATTTTATAGATGTCCTACATATATAAAGTAGATTATTGAAATTTAAACTTTATTTTGATATTACTTATATTTTTACTTACATATAAATATTACACATTAAAAAATAATACTCATTAAATTTGTCATATCCTAAAGGTACTTTTAAATAGTTCTGTCATTCTTGTGTACAGAGTACTTTAAAATTATTATATATATATTCGTAAACATTTCAGAAGTCTATGCATTGTTTGTGTTTATCATTAGATCGTCCAAATCCATCTATCAAATCCTAAGGATGGAAAGACCTATTGATATTTTTCTGACCTTATTTTAAAGTCAAATAATAAAATTACATCACATTCTTACATTTATCCAATAAAGTATATAATAGTTGTGTTGTCAGAGCAGGTAGCTGGTTAGAGGGTTACAGTACAATGTACTGCTGAAACAAGTATTTGTACAATACCATATGGTTGGCTGTACCGCATTCATTAACCCACATGATGTATACAGTCTTACTGTTCAAACAAGATTTGATGTATTTTATGTCCTGTTATAACCTGAATCAAAATTTAAATGATTGCCCTGTGACTGACTGAAGGATAAAGTATATAGTGATAATACATGACACAGTATATTAACAATAATTTTAGGGAGGATAAAAAGGAAGATTTGATAATGTTAGATAGGATACATCACTTCCAATATTAATGTACATGGAAATTTACATCAGATGAGTTTCAATTCATTTAAGATTGATTGATGTAACAGGTCTTGAGAATTTTTCATTTTATCGAACCTCTGGTGAAGTACAATGAAAAATTTGTGACAAGTTTGATTGATCTGTTATGAATTGGAAATGAATGAAAGATTCTATTTACCATATAACTTAACCTATAAGATAAATTATTTAAACAGTATTTTATTACACAAGATACAAAAGAATCTAAAGTAGCAATATTTTCAATGTAGGTGTTATTCTTTGGGGATGATACTCACACAATGCATATGACGCCATGAAATTATGATGTTACAATTGAAACAATGGGAACCTTCACTCAGGCACAGTCCTAACTAGCTCATATTATACTTTTGTAATAAGAAAAATTGATGTAATAGGTTTTATTACACTGATAACAGGGTAGTTATGTGATAGATATATCTGCTATGATATATTAACACTAGGAACAAGGATCAAGCTGCTACAAAGATGATTAAAAAACTTCTTTTTCTATTGAAAAGCAACAGTTTCTACATATATATGAAATCATGCAGTAGAAGTGAAAGCTGTGGTCCTCACTCTCACAAAACTTCTCAGAGAAAATTGTTTATGATCTTAGATTACCTGTACACACAATATTTAATCCATTATAGATATAATAGTTCTATATGTTAGATAAAACTTACATGAAGTTTTGTGGAATGAAGGGCTGCATTAATCAAAACCATAGCCTTGTATACAACTATAGTGATGTTACCAGCACTTAAATTCTACACTACTAACACAATACATATGCATATACACTTAAGCTGTTACAAAAAAGAAACAAAAAAATAGATATAAAAAGCAAGGAAGCAGCATGTGTAAGGAGGATACAATATTGGTGTATTACAAGATACCATTAAAAAAGACAACTAAAACATTGCAGAAAAATTGAATTTGAATCACAACACTATAAAAATGCTCTATAGTTACTGACTGGCATAGGTATACACACTGAATAGAATATGTAACAGGCAGGTTATCTTAAAGCATTGAAAACAAGATATCTTCTTTTATATAAAGTCAATGTTTATAGATGCAATACCTTAACTTTTAGGAGTTTCATAACCTTAGAAGTTATACAATCACTAGAAGTCGTACAACAACTAGAAGACAAAACCCTTAGAAGTACTGCAACCCCTAGAAATCCTACAACCCCTAAAAGTCCTTCAAGCCCTAGAAACCATAAAACCTCTAGAAGTCAAATAACCCCCAGAAGTCACACAGCCCTAAAGTCAAACTCACTAGAAGACAAACAACTACTAGAAGACAAAACCATTAAAACTCTAGAAACCATACAATCTCTTTGATCCCTTAGAAGCAACAACTCCTGTAACCATACAACTCTAAAAGTACTGCAACCCCTAAAAATCCTACAATCCCTGAAAGTTCTACAACCTCTTGAATTCCTGCAACCCCTGGCTAGCAGTCCTACAACTCAAAGAAATCCTACAACCCCTAGAAGTCCTTCAAGCCCAAGAAATCATAAAACCTCTAGAAGTCAAACAGCCCCCTCCCCCAGTAGTCACACAACCCTATAGTCGGACTCCATAGAAGCCAAACAACTATTAGAAGGCATAACCATTAGAACTCTAGAAACCATATAATCTCTAGAAATCCTTATAAGTCTACAACCCCTATAAGACCTCCAATTCCTAGAAGTCCTGCAAACTCTAGAAATCATATAACCCATTGATGTCATACAATCCCTAGATGTCATACAACCCCTAGATGTCATACAACCCCACAAATCATAAACCCCTAGAAGTCATACAATCCCTAGATGTCATACAACCCCTAAATCATAAACCCCTAGAAGTCATACAACCCCTAGATGTCATACAACCCCACAAATCATAAACCCCTAGAAGTCATACAATCCCTAGATGTCATACAACCCCACAAATCATAAACCCCTAGAAGTCATACAACCCCTAGATGTCATACAACCCCTAAATCATAAACCCCTAGAAGTCATACAATCCCTAGATGTCATACAACCCCACAAATCATAAACCCCTAGAAGTCATACAACCCCTAGATGTCATACAACCCCACAAATCATAAACCCCTGGATGTCATACAACCCCTAGATGTCATACAACCCCACAAATCATAAACCCCTAGAAGTCATACAATCCCTAGATGTCATACAATCCCACAAATCATTAACCCCTAGAAGTCATACAACCCCTAGATGTCATACAACCCCTAAATCATAAACCCCTAGATGTCATACAACCCCTAGATGTCATACAACCCCACAAATCATAAACCCCTAGAAGTCATACAACCCCTAGATGTCATACAACCCCACAAATCATAAACCCCTAGATGTCTTACAACCCCTAGATGTCATACAACCCCACAAATCATAAACCCCTAGAAGTCATACAACCCCTAGATGTCATACAACCCCTAGATGTCATACAACCCCACAAATCATAAACCCCTAGAAGTCATACAACCCCTAGATGTCATACAATCCCACAAATCATAAACCCCTAGATGTCATACAACCCCTAGATGTCATACAACCCCTAGATGTCATACAATCCCACAAATCATAAATCCCCTAGAAGTCCTGTAATACCCAGAAGTCGTACAACTTGAAGTCATTAAGATTTCTATCAGTGTCCACTCATGTAGTGATTGAAATTAATGGTCGAAGTTAAGTCATAATGAACTTGTCTTTATTGATATTTATACCATGTGATAACATTGTTCACAAAACACATAAGGTCAAATGAGTGTCCATGTATCAACTAAGGTCATATGATGACAGCATCAATAAAACTAAGATTATACTAAAATACAACTGTACATGGCAACTAAATAAATGGGGGACACTCAGTGTCTATGCACTTCATAAGCCAACATGTTTCTACACTAGCATAGTACAAAATGCTGTATCTATAACCATTCACATAATTCCTGACATCAGTTAATTAATCTGGAGACAAAAACACAGGTACTACATACTGATATAATACAACTGTTTAAATGAGTTAAATATTTGAATGGTACCAAGATAAGGACTGCATGGCTTTGCTGTTATTGTGAACAACAAGAGTGTGTGAATGAAATATTTCAAAATCTTTTTTCTTTTCAACAAATCCAATCACTAATAGTAATGAAGTATCAACCATAGCTATTTTAAACTTCACTTTTTTACAAAATGAAATTTGGCAAAAGAGAAGACATAAAAATAGTGTAATTCACCAACACTAGTGGTTCACAATAACTTGCGTCATTTCAAATGGATTGGAGGGATTTGTCAACAGTTCTTGTTTTGTGTAATCCATTCTTAATTAAAAAAAGAAATATATGATAAAAGATGTATAGATAAACTTCACTATAACGTTAATACTTAAGTGATAAACATATGATATATTGAAGAAAGATGCATTTGTGCAGATTGAAACAACTCTGTAGGTTTACCGATATGCATTCCTTTTCAGAGAGAGTTCATCCTGAAATTAATGGCAGTTAGTAAAATAATTACACTGTTACAAAGATAAACCATAACTTGTCTTGGGTATCAAATAACGAAAAACATATTATTGCTGATCAAATTACCTTAACATTTTTGGGGTCTTTCTAATCGTCGTATTTTCTCAAAATTTTGTACAGTCTCCAAAAAACTGAAGTGTTTTTTTTCTTTGAGTTATGAGAATAATTAATTTGCTTCATTATAATGTCATACAACATGATATAGTTTCTTTGTGACATCATATGTCTTACTGTGAAGAAGGGTTGTGTTATAGGTTTGAAATGTTGGACCAGGGTTGTTAAAATTTCATTCATAAAATAAGGATAGACTTATTGATTTCATTTTGCTCTTTGAAGAGCCCCCAACTACAGTTATTGCCCTTGTTTGTCAATACACTCATACACTAATATTAGTGTATGAGTGTAGTGCATGTGTGCCTCAACTACATGATTTGTGATCTGTATTAATATTCGCAGGTCTGTCCCAATTTATGACTGAAATACTTCAGAACATTTTCTTTGGGATTTTCTTTGGCTATCAGAAAATTTAAGAGTGACTTTTCAATGACAGTAGTCTTCTTCATCTGACAAATGACTGCCCTGAAGCATATTATCAATGACACAAGAAGTATATGAAATGGTAAAGAATCAACATGACTTTTTTGTCTGTACCAAAATCCTATGTTTGAAAATTTGTCTGATGAAGGTGACAGTGTTGTCCTTTGTCTGTCATAATGAAAGAGTTGTCTTCTTTTTTCTGAGGCTGTGTTGGAATGTGAAAAATCTTTCAATGCAGCTGTCCTGAGATGTAAAATGTCTACCTTTTATTGGGGCTGTAATCGAACATGAAAACAATTGTCTACCTTTAAAAAAAGTTGTAACAAATACATAAGAATTATCTGCTGTATTGTACCTTCCAATGTGTTTTGCCTACATTTCTACATTCTAGGAGACTGCCCTACAATATAAAAGAACTCTATTCCGTGTCAAACCTGGAAAAATTGATGACAGTTCACTTCTTAAATTATTGAGCAAATTAAGGTGAAAAAATTCCTGCTAATCTAATTATTAACAAGTAACTGGCTTCAATCATTTTTCTGCAATCACATATGTGAATACTTTACCAATGTTTCATTCTGTAATGCTTTTATTGTTTATTTTCCTTTAGATGACTATTATACTGTACCATAATTGAGCGTCAATATTTTATAATTACATGGTGCAGCACAATCTTCTTACCATAAGACCTTGGCGAGGTACAATCCTGCGACCTGGACCTTGTGATGATAAGGCATTCCTGGTTGGTGTGGCACCGGCTGAAGGTGGTGCAGGTCGACGCTGCCTGGCACTGTACACTGAAGTCATTGAAGATGGGGCATGTGGGTCAACTGCATTACCAACTGCTGGATTAAGAACGTTTGGATTTTTGTCCTTTATTGGAGGAAGAGGGGCATTTTTAGCAAAAAGATTTTCTCTCGACGAAGTACCAGATGCAACTCTGCCCTGAGAAGACATTGTTCTTGTATTGGAATTAGCCCTGCTATTTGAGATTGTCCTGGTATTAGAACTCGCCCTGGACTGAACAGCGCTACCAGGGACCATTATAACTGACGACCCGTTGACAAGAGATGCTTCCGCGGGATTAAACTCTTTATCCTGGTCCTTTTTCTGCAGAATCATCCGAAGTTTTCTATTGACATTGTAGGCCTCTTGAAGCAGTACATCAGTATCTTCTTCAGAAAGTTCAACCGATTCAAGCATTCGCATCACTTCGTCTGGATTAGTAAGGTCAAATTGAAACATTTCGTTTGGTTTTACAGCTGCTGAAGATTCTGATACTTCATCAGCAATAAACGTTTTTTCGTCATCCTTAACTGTCAAATCAGTTCCTCGGCTTTCTAGTTCAATGCCCGATTCCGGTGACAGACTGTCATTTAACCGGCGTGGCGAATCCGTTTCGTCGTCGATTTCGAGCTCATATCTTTCTGACAGAGAGGAAAGTTCCCTTCCTTCGTGGTCGACAACTTCTGCCATCCTTGCTGACGTAAGATTGTTTTAGCTCTTGTTGAAATCTATCACATTTTTGAAAGTGTTTACAAAATCTCCTGTGATGTCATTCGTTACGGAAGTCGTTTAAAGGACGCCACCTGTCGAAAGAGTCATAAAACCGTTTACGAAAATAATACTATATCGATAGGTTATACGATACCATTTTTTGACAATTTTCGCCAAGGATATAGAACATAACATATTTGCTAACGATTATCATACTCATTTCTTTACTTTGTCATTTGGATATGAAATGATAATTTAAAAAATCGCATGGGTGTCTAAGAGTGTTTTTTCCAGCTTTGTCGCAACAGAACTACAGAGGGCGGCAAACACGATTTTTGACAAGGTAATGTTAGTTATTATGAACCTAGCGATTTTGGCTAACGGTACTTACTTGAATTGAATAATAACATTTACACATGCTTGTGCTGGATACGCTTACAGAAACAGGTGCTGTGCTTAGACTAACATGGCCGGTGCTCGAACACTTTTTGTATTTTCGGTTCTCTTTCCACCGATTTGTCCGCACATGATGCAGGATAATTATGGGGTATATTTACACTTCTACCTGTTAATAATTAACGTGGTAATCTGAATCCAGCAGACAACTTTGCATCTGATCCTGCTGTGCGCGACAACTGTCAAAATAAGCGTCATTTCTTTGAAAGTTTGTTTACTTCATTATGCTGAAATAGTAATAGTAAAATATACTAAGTAGGAACTTATAATCAATTGCAGACCGTTACGTATTTCGGAATGGCCATTTTGTCTAGCTGTATCATATAAACTGTTGACCTTGCACCCGGATCATTTTGGCTGTTGAAACATGTCATGCTTCCAGAAAGAATACAAATTTGTGATTTAAATCAATCACTATATAGAATTATGAGTAGATCTATTCATTTCATTGGAAAATTTGCATTTTTCATGAATACACATTTTTTCATGCCAAACATCCGCCTAGATATGATGAAATCACCTTTCAATTCATCCTCAGATGCCAGTGTTTTGTTGTCTGTCATGTGAATAAAAATCCGCATTTATTCTCATAATTTTTTAGCAATGGAAATCCAAATATGTATGTTTTATATTGAAAAAAAAACGATGTTTAAATCATGACTTTTGACGACCCATTTCTGATTTTATTTAACTAGTGAATTGTAGACCAAGAGATCAAAAATCAACTTTATTTAAATAGTTTTGTTAAAGAATAAAAGGCTCATTTGAGAAAAAAAGAAACCATTAAAACTTAATCTAATCCATTAGAAAGGTGCACACATAAACACAGATATCCGTCACTTTTGCACCCATCAATGTATTTTGATTTGGATTTTCATCAAAATGTTATTCCTGTTCAAATGATAATTGTATGTCGAAAAAAAGAGGGGGTGGTGGGGAGGCTTATTTGCGGGAGGGTGCTTATTTGCGGTGAATTACGGTAATACATGTGTACTTCTGGGTCACTCTAAGCTAACCAAAGCATCTTTGTGCTTTAGTGATGTCATCAGAAACGGAAATGCAATCACATCTTTAATACACATGTCAATCATTTCAGGTGAGGTTGTATCTGTGGATATTTTTAAGAAAAATACTGGTATTTCACCAATCAGTTTATAAATAAATCTTATAGTATGAACACATTTCAAGTCATTTATGTATTTGTTTGATGGCAGTTCATTGACAGAGCGTAGCTAGTGAGAAATGGTTCTTAAGGGCTCTGAAACTAATGTGCCATGGATATAGAATGACATTACAACAATATCTTGAATGTACACAGGTTCCAAGTTTTGTGAATATCCACCATTACATCGGTGGTATGTTACCACTGAAAATGTCATAGCACAAGTATTCAGATCAAAATAGCTAAAAACTACATTTTGTGTTCTATCTCAAGAAGACGGAAGAATGTATCTTTGACAAGAAAAATATATAAGGCAGTGTTGGGTTGGGGGTGGGGGGTGGGGATGGGCCGTATATGTAAATGAAGACAGTACATATTCTATTAATTAGACATCCAATTTGGTTTCATTGACTCCTGTAAGTAAATGCATGGAGAGAAAAAGAGGCAAATAAAATGGCCTAAAGTTTAAACTGTTTACTTTAACCACTTGAAGCAAAGCAAAATTTCATATTCCCAGATGTTGATGAACCTGGTGGTAATCATCAGCTGTGAGCTGCCTCATAGTATTGGCTTTTCAGTTATCCGGATGTGCTCATAAAAGTGAATGGTACTGTATTATACTGTATCATTTATTTTACAGATGGAAAAAGTAAGCAGGTTTGAAATTTCACCCATGGTTGCTCTTCTCAACATGATTAAGGTCAACTACTTTGGAAAAACAGAAGTTTACAAAGCACTGCTTGCAGTTCTTTGTGATTATGATAGAAGAAATCCACTTATTAAAGAAAAGGTAACTATTTGCATGGAGTTTTGAATGAGATTCAGCAGTTTGATATAGATATATATCTAACTAGATGCCTATCTTTGGCATTAACAAAGACTAAATCTTAACTTTTGCAAGCTTTTGGAAAAAGTCTGATTCCTTTATCAGGCAAAGTAGATTTTTTTAGAAGATTGGTCAAAAGCTGTTTTAACTCTTTTAAAATCCACATAACATAAATTCCTCTTTTTGAGTAAACAGAATCACAATATGGCTGAGAGTTTGGACGAAGTTTGGTTGAACAGATAGAGGAGCTAGCAATAAAATGTTTTTTTAAAAACATTTCTTCTGTACACCACTCTACCCCATTCTAAACTGCAAGAACACCTCAGCATTTGTTATGAGAGCTTCCTTTTCTAAAATAGATGAACAGCGATACATGTACCAGTACATCTATCCTGAAGCTTCTTCCAACAGACTTTGCACACCTTTTGAACTGTGTCCCTCTCTTGACTAACTTGTTTTTATATGAAGTTGAATTCATCAAAGAGCTTATTTAAGCAGGTCACAAAGACCTTGCAAAATCCTTTCAATCTCACTTTCAGATGTATATGATGGTGTCTCAGAATAGAGATTTATTGACCACATACATTGTAATTCTTCTACATCAGCTGCTTATCAAGATCTTTTCCAACAACAAAACCAACATGGACATCTTTCCATTAAGCTGTATGATAAGCATGTTGATTTCAATTTTTCTATTGTGAATTTTTCATTTCTGGATAGCAATACCCCTCTATCCCCAACCTCTGGTGTTTACATGTCACTGGTGATTCCATAATCAAGGACATGCTCCAAATATCACAATTTTCATGCAAGAATTCGACAACTGACAGAGATACAGAATGATGAAAAATGTGACAAAGTCTTATGGTTGCCATAGTGATCTCACCGAGAAGTATCCTATTTCTTTGTGCAATATGAAGCTGGATATATTTGAGGCTCATTAGCTTGCCTTTTGGTTCTGTTGTTGTATGGCTTGTTTTCGTTTGGGAATGTGACATTACTTTCTTTATACTTAGATTTATCAAGATTTACATGACAGTGTCTTGGATGATTCAGAAGACACTTACGATTCGGAACTTATTCTCTTTGTACTTATTGATGTTGAGTTTGAATTATGATTCTGTTCACGTACTGGAATTTCTTGTTTTTATTTAGTCACTTATAATAAATAAGTTATGTCTAGTTTTATCACAGTTGTAGTACATGTTTAAAAGATTTGAATTTTTCTGCATGAATGGTGTTTATAACGTTTATGAGAAAACCAACAGTAGTTACAATACACACATTAATGTATAGATTGAGAAATGAAGTTTCATATTTTATCAACTAACATTTTCCTTTGTAAGACTTAGTTTTAATATACTTTTCACTTTCCATGAAGAGTTTCCAGTTAAGTTACTAAATCACCTATTGCTTGATTTTCTAGATAGTCCGATATTTTATTTATAATGGAATTAATTCTTAAACAAGTTCTTCAGATTTCTTGCTGATGCAACTTCAACTGAATTTTTTATTCACAGACAAAGCACTATATCCAGCTGTTACTTGCTGATCATCAGGATCTGGCCAGAAGTCTAATTACCTTCCTCCCTGGAGAGGAAAACGCTGAGAATATCCCTCTAGGCTTAAGTCCAATCACTGATACACCTGCAGTTACCCATAAAAGGTTAGACTTGTGCTGTTAGTGTGTCTCATATACATTGTTAATATTGATAAATTCTCTTGGTATATAAAATATAAATATGCTATTTTAATTCTATGCATATTCTTCAAGACAGCCATTTTGATTTGATTTTTGTAAGGTAACCTGAGACTATGTATCATGGTGATTTATTGTGATTGTTTGTGTCATGCGTTATAAACCTTTTTCAGCATTTTCAACTTCTTCACAAAAACCCCTGAACCAGCTTTGATGAAATTTTGCAGGAACCTTATTTAGTTATTTTACTTTCTTAACAAGAACAACTCCAGTGACCATAGCCCCTTTTGGCCTCATGTTTTTCTCTATTTTCTTCTTGTCTGGATGCCTTATCTTTTAATTTTTAACTTGGCTATCAATTATGGCAGGCTTTATCATCATTTGATGGCAGTGTGTTTACAGTACCTAAATGTTATTTTGATTAAAAAAATTTTGAAAAGTTCGAAATTGTATTTCTGTTGTCACCAGTGACATTTAGATATGAAAATTTCTTTGTGAAATTCCCTCCCAGTTTTCAATGCTTTTCATGTCATTAAGTTGTGCTTTCTCTGAGGCATTTTAAGAGGAAAATTCGGAGTACTTTGAACATTTCTATGAATTTTGATACAAAAATGTACATTTTTCATGTATTTCATTTTCACATGCATATTGTCTGATCTGAGGAGATCTTGTAGTAAATAAGATGTAATTGTTAAAAAGTACAATGTACTAACACATGTAAAGTATATAATATGATGCTAAGATGCTTTATTCATGTAATGTCTTTACGAACCAAAACTTTTTTCTGTTTACAGACATAAAAAGAACAGGCCTAAAGGTAAAAAGAAAAATAAACCGAAGTCCAGGAAGTCCAACCTACTCAACGGAATGCTATTGGAGACCATGCCTTCTGATCTGGCTACACCTCCAAAACATTTTGATAAAAAGATGATCGACATTACAGCTGGCACACCAATATTAGATATCAAATCTGTAACTTCAGAAATGTCTACCCCTTCCATGAAAGAATTAGTTTTACCTCAATCATCACTTCAAACTGAGGTTTACACAACACAAAACATGAAATATAAATGCTGTTCTGAGGTCATTGATTCTGAGAGAGTCCGGAGTAAAAGTCCAATCTTTTCAAATAGCAGCAGAAAGCCTGTGGTATTTACTACAGCTGTTTATAATGAAAGCAAATGTTATGCTGCACCTTTTCCCATATATGACAGTTGTGGTTTTCCTTTGAAGAACTTGTGTAGACCTGGCCAAAAGTTTTCTCCACTTGTAGGTCATAAGCACACATGTAGCAACGTTGCAGATATTGGAACACACCTGACATTGAAAAGTATTTCTCAGTCAGGTACAGCTGAAGCCAACTTATCAGAAGTGCCAACTGTGACCTCTATGATTCCAGGTATCAAGCCTGGCAATAGCTGTCATGGCCTACCCTTATCAGTTCAACCATACCTGGGTGCTTCAAGAATGATGCCTCTATACAACCTTAGTAGAAACGGCTCACACACAAGTAATCAGGCACCATATTCAGCATCTTCTTATGAACCAAACATGAACTCTGGACTTGAAAGTTGGCCATTAAGCAACTGCAATTCAGTACCTCTGGTCCAGGGAACAGAGTCAACACCTCTTGGACCAATAACTCTGCCATATAAAGCTTACACCAACAATACTAATCTTCACCAGAATTTAATCCATAGGCCAGAGACTCTGGTGATGGGACCCACTCCAACGGTTTACAATCCAATGCAATGGCCAACAAGGTTCGAGCAATTCACTACCATGACAGTGGGTCGAACATTCCATCACAGCCCTGCAAGTTGCCTCAAGCCACCATCTGTTGCCCAGCTACCCTGTTCTGCTAGTCAAACTTCCCATACAGCACCTGTCCCACACTTGTACACATTACCAAAATCATCAGCGCCAGTGTCGACTATTTCAAGTTGGATAGAACAATCCATATCTCGTCAAGCCCTTGCCAAGAGTCCTTCACAATACACTATGGCCCAAATGTCTCATTCTGCTGGTAAAAAAACTTTCGTGGGAACAAATACCAACAATCTTTCATCCTTTCCATATACCAAGCAGATGATTCTCCCAGATGGTCAAACACAAAATCTGTATTTAAAGCCATCATCCATCCATGCATCGGACATAAATACAGTACCTGATGTTGATGATCATCAGAAAGGCATAGCAACAATTTCATATAACCACAACAAAGAGGAAAAGAACAATAACAACATTTCTTTCCAAAATGCAAGAGATGTCACTAACTGTGTACCAGTTAATGTATCAGCAGGGTATAGTACAATGCTGCAGCAGGTAGGAGATGCTACACAAAGTCTCCAGTCTTCATTGCCCTTCTTTATAACTGACCACCACCTGTCTATTTATCAACATCCAGATAATATTGTGGATTCCTTTGGTGGTCGAGGTGATGCAGATAGCACTAAGCCAAGAAAAGTTACAATGTCCACAAACTCAAGTGTACGAAAAAAACTGCGGTTAACACCAAAGTGTTCCAAACATCAGGAGAATGGAGTTTTGTTTGGTACTGAATAGATTACTTGCATGTTATTTAACTATAAAACTTCACAAAATATTTGCAACAAAAGTTATTTTACTACATGTATATTGTAAGCAACATCTTCAAATATTTATTGTACAGTTGTTTAAATTTGCTGTTATTCAAACTTCTTATGGTGTATAATTTCAAGTGTCATTTATATTTAATAGTGTTATGTTTGTACATTGTATATATTTAATTTCATATTGTAATTTTATATTTAAATCAAAATTTAATTAATGTGCCTGCATGAACATTTTCTTTTCCTGCTCTGCATGAAACATTGATAGCAATTTGAAGAATATTATATTACTGAAATATTTAAAATTTGGTCAGCTGTATTTTAAAAATACTGTTTCCAGATACTTGGATGAAAATAAATTCAGTGTTATCCTCTAGAAATTGTGTGCAAAGCACCTTATTTGGTAAATGTGACTTTCTTGTTAGGTGATGTTTTCTAAATGTAAACAAGATTCATATTTGGAGGCAAGCGTTTATTTCTTCAAACATGAGACCAAAACAAAGAAATTCTGCAGTTAATTTATTTCTGAAAATATTACGCAGTCCTGTAATTTGTATCCTGGTATGTCTGAAAACACATAACTGTTAAACACAAAGCTATCAAATGAAACTTTCAATCACCCATATACCGCAATACATACATTACAATCTTTCATTTAAAATCAAATGTCATTCAACTATCTTTTATCTCCCCTTTGGTTTTTAAACATGTTTATATGCATTTAAACAAACTCAACTACTTTGTATACAATTTGAAAGTTTGCCTTAGTTGCCTGTGATATATTACTATCAGTCTGCCTACTATTGAGTCTGTGTATATAGGTATTCATATTCTATATAAACAACACAAATTGTTTTTATCAAATATTTTATCATACAAAGTATTCCATAATAAAAATGCTTGTTTGCATGCTAATCCAAATGTAGGTTTAAACAAAGATTTGTAAAAAAAATGTTGATAGTTACTGATCCGTTGATCAGCAAAATAATTTTGAAAAGTCTCTGAAAACATTGGATTTCCTTATGAAAATTTGGAATATAAGGTTAATTTGAAAAATGAACTGTTTTTTAAGTCTCTTTCATTTACTTCTGATAACAGAACTTCGTAAATTAATCTTTGACCTGGTGTGAATTATTGCTTTATTCCTATCTATAATTGTTGTTAATGCTATGCTATGCTTTCCTTACACTATTTTCACTACAATTATAATGTTATTCAATTGAAGTGTCAATGTGTTAATCCAGTTAAGTGGAAACATGTAAATCTAGTTAAGTGGTAAGTGTATAGATTCAAGAACCCACTATAGCATTTTTGAAAATCTTTAAAAGAGTTTTAAATACTTTTTTGCATAATTATACTGCTTCAACTATTATGGTTTTGAGCAAATTATAATCGATTTGGTTTTCTTTCTTTTTTTATTTTAATTTCAGACTGAAAACTAAAAGAAGGTTGAACAAGGTCATAACTTTGTAATACTAAGTGTTAAGTGTAATCAATACTGATTGTTATTTAATACTCTAAGCTTTCAAATGAACATTTCCCCTTCTATGGCTAGTGTTCAGAATAAATTGGAAAGTTTAACTGATTATCAGTTCAATATAAATAACAAATGATCATTGAATAAGTTGGTCAGTGTGGCATATTAAAATTTTCTACCATTTTAATGGGAAGTTTTCACCATCATTAACATTGTAATACTTAATTTTCTTTTATTAAAAAACATATTTACAAATAATGAGTAACTAATATGTCAATAGCTTCTAGACTTTGTCTTTCCTTGCTATGCCAAATAGTAAATACATGACAAAATGAATTTCCAATAGTCAATGATTGATTTTACATCAACTGACTGATTATCAATTACAATTGGAATTGTTCAAACTTTCCCTTGAATACCAATATTACCTTATCACTTTTATAGCAATTTCCTACAAATATCTATTACAAAACTAAAGCCTTTCCAACACTGAACATGTTTTAATGGTTGATATTTTTATATCTACATATATTAATTTTCATTTACTGTGAACAGTATTAAATCTTGCAGTCTTCAAACTGAAAGTGTTGCACTCAATTATCTACACTAATTGCAGTTAATGTATGTTATTCATATAGTAATTAATACAGATGTGCAAATTCATCATTGCAAGAACTTGTTAAACAATGTTAAAGCACTAAGATTTGATTGCACGAAGTTAAGTATTTCTAAAGTGTCTGAAATGTCAGCTCTTCATATTGCTGTGCTATTTCAGTATAACTCACTATTATCAACTAGTGTCCTCTGAGATTTATTCCAGTCATCAATTGTTTGTATTTTAGGAGACTGATCTGTTTTAAGTGTTAGATTTATCAGTAATGTTAGTTTAAAGCAGACATTATATTCTTTTAACATGCATGTTAAGGTCACTGATATTTGCATATACTATAATGCTTTTTTTAGCTCTCAAATAACCTGAAAAGGTTATAGAATGAAATTTAGATTTATTCATCCATAAAAATAGAAATAATTAGATCAAAAACATTTTACTAATATCTGTTGAGACAAATGTTTGTAACAACCAAACATACAAAAATACATTTTTATATATCAATATTTGTAATACTGTATGTTCTCCTAATAGTAACATACACAAATTGCAAAGAATTTCATCATAGAAAATAGAAACTTTATTCAAGTTTATCACATAATTATTGATATCTTTTTTGAACTCATATTAATGATTACGTTGAATAAATATGTGAAACACAAACTGAAAAACACTAAGCCTGAGTTTACACAATACATTTTGATACATAAAAATTGTATGGGTCTATGTTTTATGACCAAGAACACAGCTCATCAATACAATGAAAGAGATTACAGAAAAATATCACATCCAATGCAACAACTCAATATCAGAAAAAAAGGTTTAATAAAAAGTAAAATCACATATTCTAAAGAATCTATTGAGCCTCAAGGATGACGCTAGCTGTTAAAAACTGAATCTTGATTAGTCCAATCATTAAGAGTAAACATCAGATACAGCTAGTTTGTTCTAACCTATGCTCTGTATGAATGATTCAGCTAAGAAATATGTTTGTTGTTCAGGTGCAGTTTGAATTTTTTCTCCTTTTATACTGTTTGGTCCATAAGTTGTTTTCTTAAGTCTGTTAGGTATCATTTTAACTAAATTTAAGAATGCAATTTTTTTGATTGGTCTCCTTGAATTCAATATAAGACAACTGAATATTTATCAATCAGTCATAAGTCTTACAGTATTGTTTATCTATTTAAATTTAAATATACCTGATTGTAAACATTGCAAGTTCTAATTCCTGCTAAAATATACCTTCAATTTACCAGCTCTACAATGAACTAGGAATTACGTTTTCAAAATAGGATTTCAAAGAATATCGTTTCTTCTACATTATTTTTATTTTCATTGTTAATGATGATACAAAGATATATTTACAATCTAATACCTGGATTTATTCTGATATTTTCATTAAAACTGGCCACCATTATGTAGCCATTTAACTGGGACAAAGATTCTGAAGAGGTATGTTAAGTTGTTGTGTTGAACTTGAAGGCATTATTGTAGTTTGTAAAACAAAGATGATATGACCACATGAAATACATTCACGGTGTTGCCAGCTCAACTGATATTGTCAGGTCAACCTGATATTGGACATAGATAGATCTACTGAAATCCTTATAAAATCACCTGTTTCCTGACTTTCAAGCATATTATTGAAAAATTCAAATAAAAGTTAAGATTTAATTTTGTCAAAATTTTGTTAAAAAATACCAAGAGATTATCATCTTAATACAGTAAAATGATTAATTTTCATGAGGAATAAAGTTTCACTGGTTTTTTGGGTACTTTTAAGTGTCTTTACAAAGGTGCTGCTGTTGGAAGAATTTGGTTTCATATTGGCTAATATCCTACTTACAGCTTAACAGTCATTTAAAAATGGTATGTTTAACCTCACAATGATGATATGAACAACTTGCAATTTGATCATTTTCACATTTCCCTTCCCAGATACCTTCTGTAAAAAGTCAGTTCTTGATGAAAATATAAATGTATCCACCGGTATTATGTAGTGGTCTAACTGTTAAGTATTGATTGATTGAGACCTGTCAACAAATAATACTTTATATAGATTTTATATCCTCCAGGGAAACAGGCTGTGCTTTAAAGTTGCTGCTCATGTTGGCCATGTCGCTGAAATTAGCACCAAGTCCAGACAGGTGGAGAAAGTAACTTGCCTTTTCTACCTGGACGGTCAGATTGGTCACACCAATCTCCTTGAATACACTGCTCACCTGTTTAATAAGAATACAAGCATAATGTAAAGACAGAGTGATGGAAAGGTAAAATTTTTTACCTGTTTAATAAGAATACAAGCATAATGTAAAGACAGACTGATGGAAAGGTAAAATTTTTTCAAACTTTCATTTACATTTTAAAAAAAAAAAATTTATAAAAGAAAGACTGAATAAGACTATGTTTTATAAATAAAAAAAACTTCAAAGACCTGAAATTTATTTTGCACTTAACCAGGAAAATGTATATAGGACATTAATGCCTCTACTCTGCACATGATCACATCATGTGCAGAGATTGATGTTATAATACTATGCTGTAAATATCTATAGAGATTTTTTCAAGGTATGATGCTCATTCTCTCAAAATCTGTTCAACTATTTGAGCCAGACAAGCAGTCAAATATGTTATAACCTTTCGATATTGTTGTAAAAGCTAACCTCAAAAAACTTACCTGAGCTACTACCTTTTGTTCACTGGCATCAGGGGTTGCTTGTATGTGTATACTACCAAATATTTTGTCAGCAGTGTGAGACCAGATCTTTGGTTCCCTGTATGACACCACACCTTCAATTGTCAATATCTGTAATGCAAACAGTTTTGGAATGAAATAATGACATCACCATGAAGTGAAGAGGAGAGCAAAATGGGAAATACATGTTACTTAATCATGTTAGGAACAAGAGAGACAAAGGTCGCTGACAGGAAAATCATAATATCAAAAATTGTTCACCGTCTGTGGATTAGAGATGAAAGAATATACGATACCATAGGGAAAATAAAATTTTCAACTTAATTGACTAAAAAGACTTGGATAAACAAATAAAAGTTATGATGGCAAAACAGAGACCAATCGTAGTGGTATTTGGTGCACTGAAGAAAAAGATAGCTATATTTAATTACAGACAGGAAAAAAACCTGTTAGGAAGCCAAGAAATGTACAATTCATATAAAAAAACGACCTCCATGGAAAAGGACAATTAAAAGAAAGGTTAATTTCTAAATATTATAATAACATTGCTACAAATTCAGATTATTTACTAGTAAGATTGCTATCTATATACATGTATAGGTACACAGAAAATGAAAAACTGAAAACTTTGTCACTGAAATAAGTTCATAATACATTGATATACCGGTAAATTTATGGATATAGAGGCCACAGTGTAGTCTTATCTCTTAGAAATATGACATGACTTACCTTTCTGCATACTGTAGGTAGTTCCCTCTCTATTTTGACTGGCATTCTAAGGAGAAGGATCACTGAAGTCTCCTTCAGTAATGGCATAACACTCAACAATATCATGGTAGCAATGAAAAGTGAGCAAATTGGATCTGCAATGTTCCAGCCAAAGTTTTCAATCAACAAAGAAGATATGATCACACCCACGCTGCCCATGGTGTCAGCTAACACATGCAGGAAAACACCTACATGGAAATAAAACAGTTGATTTTATATCACCGAAACTGACACATGAGTATGATATCTTAAAGTAAGATGCTGTTTCCTGAACCAAGAATATCCATACTCCACTGCTGCTTGATGTTACGTGTTCAAATATTGATCATATAATGAAAACTCACCTGAAGAATAACTCCACTATAAACCAATGTTAAATGCTACCTAGCTTGGCAAGCTGCTGATTTGACTTCATTTCTTCGTGTAAACGATAATCTAACTTTGTTAATCAGGTCTGTTTGATGAAACATTTACATGTAGTTTAAGATATGGTCATTTTAATGACCCTCTCAAAGGAGTTCAAATGAAATATTCTAAGACACCTTTCTAAATCTTGCATGAAATTGACAAGAGTTTGAATCTTCTCATCAAATAAACATGAATTTTATTAAAAATAATCAAGAAGACATTTTCTGAAGCTGACTTCATCTGTAAAATTTGCTGTGTTTTTTTCTTGTGTGACTATAATGCTATTGGAAATCTATGACACTATGTCACAAGAGAAACAGGAAGATACAGCTCACCTCAGAAAGTCGTTACCACAGGAGTGTTTAAACACAATTTAAGTAAACGTTTTGACATAATATTGATGTAACTGTATGACAATTGGATATAAATGTGTGCTTACCAGCATTAACAGGTTATATTGGTAAAATAAGTAGAAATATTACTGACAATTGCCAGCTTCATCATATTAATCAAATACATATTAATGATCCTGAAAAAAATCATCATGTGGTACATTGGAGGTTTTGGAGGAAACAGGTTGGGGAAAGGAAATGTAAAATCGTGGTCTAATTTCAGGTCAAAGGGTATAGCTAGATTTATAGAAGCAGTTTACATTTCAAGCTTCATTTATACAAATAAACCTTTTTGAGTCTGATTTTATTTTCTGTACTGGTGAGTGAAATGTGTTAAAAAGATAATATTAAACACCAGTAATGTTGCCATCTAGATGCAAAGGCTGTAAAATTGAGAGAGAAGCAGGGGATCTGGTCTTATAATGATAAAATATACCTGGACCAGATCCTCCAAGATATAAGGTTCTTAGTGAGTGGTGCCAATAGACTGAAATACAGGCAAAATTCACCAGACAAGATCTAGAAATATATATACTGTACTGAAGAAATAGGATATAGATCATCATTCAAGATTTTATCATAATCTACATAGGAAGAAGTAAGGAACATTGCACCATAAAAGATAAAGAAATATTGATCATAACAAGAAATAAAAATATTGAAATACTTAGACCAATTCAAATACATAGAGAAAAATATGTTCTTTGATAATGTATTCTAAGTGAGAAATTAATGAAACCTTCACTTGTTTGCTGCAGTCAGAAAAAAACCCCTTCCCATACCGTACAAAGATAAGCTTCAGTTTTTCCTCTGTGTATCTATCAGTCTGAAACATTGCATTTCAGTGATAAAGTGATAAAAAGAGGAATAAGAAATATAGGCCAACACTGGATTCTATGATTATACGAGTTACTTACCCTCCATATTAATATTATGATCAGACTGACTAGGTGCACCATGTGAGTGACCATGTTGGTCTCCATGGTGACTGTGACCTCCGCCGTGACTGTGGCCATGTCCACCATGACCGTGAGTGTGTGAGCTGCGGAAGGCTGTTATACCGACTAGATTTACTAGTAATCCTATCACAGATACTGTCTGCAATGTTGAAACATTTATAAAATTCAATCCCAATTTTCATATGTATCATGGTCTTAACAGGCACAGAAATGTGTGAGAAATTATAAATAGGCAAAAATTTAGTTTCACTCCGAGGAAAATATGATTTTTTTTTTTAAAAACTTCACATATTATACATACACATTAAGGATGACACAAATACATTTCCATTAATCATCATCATCATCATGGAACCCACATATCACACCATTTTATCAATATCATTAGACATCATAATCATTGATATAAAAATATGTCATCACATTCCTCACCATCAACACCATTCAGCCATTTTATCACATTCCTCACCACCAACATCATTCAGCCATTTCATCACATTCCTCACCATCAACATCATTCAGCCATTTTATCACATTCCTCACCATCAACATCATTCAGCCATTTTATCACATTCCTCACCACCAACATCATTCAGCCACTTCATCACATTCCTCACCATCAACATCATTCTGCCATTTTATCACATTCCTCACCATCAACATCATTCAGCCATTTTATCACATTCCTCACCATCAACATCATTCAGCCATTTCATCACATTCCTCACCATCAACATCATTCAGCCATTTTTTCACATTCCTCACCATCAACATCATTCTGACATTTTATCACATTCCTCACCATCAACATCATTCAGCCATTTTACCACATTCCTCACCATCAACATTGTGGATTTGTCTAGAAGTGAAAACTCTATGTCATACTTACTAGAAGCTTTTCTGTTTTGACCACTGGGGGTTCATGTAATCGCTCAATAGCCTCAGTAAATACAAATATTCCAATTACAACAAGGAACAAGCCATTTATAAACCCAGACAGTACCTCCACTCGATCATACCTTTAAACAAACACAAATGATTTTTAAGAATGGCAGTGGACCAACAGTGTGTTAAAAATCTGAAGCATAAAACCAATACTGTGATATGTAAAATGTTATGGTACCAATACAATTGCAGTTCATACATCTTTTTCATGGAGTTTTAAACCCCATAAACCTTATCTTAACATTACTTATCAAAAACAAGTAAGAAATGCATTCAGAATGTGGGTAAAAGGTATAAAATTTAAATCTGATGTTCATGACAGTAAATCTTAATTCCAAGGTGTCAAAAATAATGTTAAAAACAATGAAAGCACGGGAGGTTGAAACAGTCATCCAGTATTTGCTCCTTAACTGACAACTGAGGCACTTTTAACACCATTTAAAACATAAATTGGGATGGAAATGCACATATTGATACAGGATTTGAAAGGCTAAGTCGAAGCTTGCTAGACCTCAAAATAACATCAGTAGGTCCATCCTTATTTTATAAATAGAAAAAAAATGATCCACTGGTCAAACTAATAAACGGAAATGGGCCCAAATGACACTACTTGTCCCTCTAGATTCAAGCATAAAAGGTGATCAGATAAGTTTAAGGTACAAACCCATAGGAGAATATGCGAGTTGCTTTCCATCTACTCATGATGGCTGCATACAGTCCCATGACCAGCGCGGAACAGTCAAATAACATGTGGAAGCCATCAGATATTAGGCCTAAGCTATTGGTCCAAACCCCATACACCAGCTCAACAAATGTAAATATCTGGTAATGAAGATTAAAACAAAATTATACTTTGAAAAAAAAGGTTTGGAGAAAAGTCCATTTCATATTTTCTTTGCTTTAATAGTTTGACTAATCAGCAAAAAGTTTATCTCTTTAAACACTCTCAAAACATCTCCTTTACAACAAATATCACACAATTAAAAAATTTAATCGAATATATGCAATGATTTCCTTCTAATAAAAATATTTGTTATGAAAAATTTGGATTTAACAAACAATTTCATGTTTTTACAACCAAATATTCTACACATTCCACTATCTTTTAGTTGTATTCTTTTCATTACAGCAGAAGTTTCTTTATTCTTTTTTTAAAAGTGACTTTGAATTAAATGACAATAAACCAGCAATTTATATACTTACTAAATTAATACACAAGAAATAAAATATTTTTCGTGAATTAGAATCCTCCAATATCTGACGCAGCCCATTTTTGATGACGGACAGCACTGAGTGTGAAGTTTTATGTAAAGCATCACCTGTAAAGCTATAGAGAGGTAATCCAGCGGGAGAATAGCCGACAAAACTCCCACCTTTACCTGGCTTACTAGGGAAGCCAAGTATACTGGAAGCTACAACAGAAAGATTAAGTGTGATTTGAATATATATACATTTACCGGTATATATATTTAATAATTAGAAAACAGTAAGATTTAAAAGGCTTCAACATATCACTTATACTCTAAGATACAATCGTACATCAAAGCATCTCCCCCCTACCTTTCCAAAATTTATATACATGTACATTATATGTATATGGTATATCTGTAAAGAAGAATTTTGCATCGTTATGCAAGAATATTTGTGTCCCTGTTACATTTTAGTTACCAAAAATGTCTAAGAGCCAAAAAGACATCAAAAACTTGACAAACATTCTAAATATTGCTTAAAGTAAAATTCATTGATTGATTCGAAGTTGTTCAGAAAAAAATGATCAAGAATTTAACGCCAGTACTAGCATACCTAAAGAAAATAATGTTTTACAACAAAACAGGATCAAGATATCTGAAAGTCGCTGTATTTCATAACAGAATATACCTGGTGCTTATCCTTTATTAGATACAAGCTAAATACTTATCTTATCATTGATGAGAATATTGGCACAAAAGGAAAAATAACATATTAGCCTGATGGCAAAAAAAAAAACCATTAAAAGACATAAAACATAAAAAAATTGTCTTCCTAGTTTCCTGATTCGTAAAAGCATTCCTGAGACATATATCACTTACCAAGAAGGAAGGTCATCAGACTAAGGACCACACCCCCTGACAGAACATGGTCCTCTGTGATGATGTCCCGTAACTTGTGTAGTGTTGTTATCTGTGCCATCATTGGATGGTTCCATGTCAGGCCAAGAAACAGAGCACTAAGTATGATCGCGTATGTACCATACACTGATGTCTTTGGAGGCTGGAGGTGGTTTGTTACAACCGCCTCAATATAAAAGTCTACCACGAATACAAACAGAATCACCAGTGTTAAGGGAAAAAGGAGATAAAGCCATGACTCAATGTAGCTCTGAAATTAGAAATGAGTTTTTATGCTGAAGTGAATATCAGGACAAGAAAAATACTAAATGTTAGTTGATTAAACAGAGAACATATTAAAGTTGAAACTATTTAGGTAAGGTCACAATAATTATCATTTAACAGGAATTTGTTATTTTGAGGTAATAACCGAGTTACCTTCATATTTACAATATAAAATTTCACTGACGATGCAAACTGATTTGAATGCTGTATAGGTAGATGGTTTCATGAATATACATGGTATAAATTGAAATCTTTCAAAGCAAATTTATAAAATCATCTTACAATTCGTAAGCACCTTGATGCTTCTGTTAATTTTCTTAAATCTGTGCAGGTGAAAACATATCCTTCTAAAATCAGAATATATTTATCAACAGAGAATGCATATGTATCAAAAGATGTTATCAGGGTATAAACAGGTTCTGTAAATATCTCACCTCTCTTGTAAAGTGCATAAAGAGCATCCAAGGAAAGAGCAATATTGCCTGCACTAATGTAGAGAGAGCATGGAGTCGTTTTGAGCCACCAATGTCTACTGACAATTTCTTTGATGCACTGCTGTACCCTACATGTGTAAACAGGGTTATCGCCAGCAGGACTACACCTCCCTGTAAAAAGTATAACAATATAACTTAGAAGAAATTTAGAGACCCAGTGTAATTTATTCATCTATACTGAATTCATTAAACATTTGTGTGAGTTAAGTGCTCTTAACTGACATGAGTTAATTTCCTTGTGATCTGACGAGCCAATAAAATTGATAATAGATACATACCTTGTAATCTGACCAGCCAATAAAATTGCTAATAGATACATACCTTGTGATCTGACCAGCCAATGAAATTAACAACGGGATAGAATAAGTGTGTGAAGATGTTTTGATGTATTTCATTAGCTGTAAAGTCTTGTTAAGGAAGCTGAACAAATAAAGACACTACGCTAAAATTTTCATAAGACACAGAAGAAAGAAATGGCTTACTAAACAAATTCCAAAAATTTTCATATTTCATGAAACTTTTCTACAAGATTTTCTTCAAGTGCGATTTTCAGAAACATTAAAAAATACATCGCAAAAAATGGAAGTCATAATCAAACACCTGTAAGTACAGGTAAAATGTCTGATGTTTTGAGTACAAGGATACATTCATGAACAGCTAGATTATCCAATCTCTCGTCATGGTCAAAAAGTAATAGAGTGATCACAGCTATAATGAAAAATATAGCCCCTCTCATCTGAAAAACACAAAAAATTCTTTACAGTTTACAGCAATACAATATTGAAAGCTTACCCAATTTCTAAATGACTAGAAAAAACAAATCAAATATAAACAAGAGATCAATGGGCCTTAATGGCCTCCTGAGGTCTTCAGGTTTTTGGACAGTTTTGTGCATCAGTCCCATCATTGTGGCAGACAGAACTGATATACTGTGTGCATACTTACAATGTTTTTATTGTTTTTAAGTTTGAAGGCTAAATTTTCAATTAAACACAGCTGATAACACTGTCTGTTGTTGTAGCTTAAAATGTTTTTGGCCTCTGTGACCCTTTGAAACAAGGTCAAGATCGCTAATTTGAACAAGTATGATAGCCCATCATTCCAACATGCTACTGGCCCAATATCAGGACCCTGGGCCTTTTGGTTATTGAGAAGTAAAAAAAAAAACAAGTAATTTGTTTGCGACGGACAACACAAGATGCAAGACAAAAGACGATCGGTCACTTGAGACGAAGAACTTGAATTAACTATTAATAAGGCCCTTTAAAAGGACAATATCTTGAACACTGCAATTACTTATTTTCTTGTGTATCATCTTTCTCTTTTTCTGGTAAATACAATCAAAATGGATTTTGCTTTTATTTTTCTGTTGTCAGCAAGTCCAAGATGATGTTCCCTTTGTAAAATGCGTTCTCCATGAGTCAAAAAGTTTGTCATCTTGTCTAATGTGTTCTCCAAGAGTCAAAGATGATGTCATTTTTACTAATGTATCCTCCAAGTTTTAAACACAGTGTCCTTGTTGCTAATCTGTCCTTCAAGACTCAAGAGAGTCTTTGCTATTCTGTCCTCAAAGAGACAAAGTGAATGTCATTTTTACTAATCTGTCCTTCTAGATTCCATTAGGATGCAATATTTGCTAATCTGTCTTCTAACAATCAACTTAATTAGCTTTTATCCACATACCTTTGAGGGGCCTCCTCCATTGTTTGTAAAAAGAGCACATGCTCCTGCTATTATAACTAGATCACTGTGTTCAAAAAGAAGGATTGTTCTGGAAAAAAAGGACAATTTTACAAATATATATCTCCATTATATGTAAACTAGTTACAATAGCATGAAAAATCCAAAGAAGCAGAACCAGTTAGCTATCAGAAAACATCCCCTGATAATCTCCATGGCTGTCAGAAACATTACCTTTTTACAGCAATATTGAAACAAGCTATCAGCTTATAAAACTCACTCTCCACGGCCCTGATTAAGTACCATGAGTGATCTTATTAGTTATTGTAGGAGGAGTACCTAGGTAAAATCCTTATGGTCAGGTGCCTACCCCATACATTTTCATATCTGAATGGAGAAGGACAAGTGTACCTTTGTGTTGCTTCTATGCCATCTCATCACCTATGCTTATGTCATGGTCATTGATGTAATGATACATTTAACTCCAAATGAGAAATTCATCAAACTATCTCAATATAGTTACCTTATATTAAAATGCTTTGTCTATAAATGTTTAACAAACCTCAGAGAGAAATGTGAAAGTACAGAATATTACCTTAAGGGACCACAAAGTGTCAATCCAAACAGCCAGAGCAGATTAATCAGCCCTCCAAACAGTGCATGTCTTAAAACTCGGAACCACTGAAAAAAAAAATGGGTTTCACTTGCAAAGGAAAAACCAATTCAACAATGGTACCATACACAAATCTATCAACTGAGAGGTTGAAAATTTGTGCCAACTATTCATTGTCAAACAGAAAGGTCAACAGAAAAAGATAGGGTCTGATTGGTTAGATTATGGAGGCAACCTTGTTGCCATACTGTATAGCAGTCTGTATGTGTCAACTTATGCAAATTATAAGCCCTCCTCTGTATGATTATCATTTAATTGTTGTTTATTAGAAGTTTGGTAATGAATTTGCTACTTACATGGTTATTTGACAGTTTCTTTCCTGATGAAAATGGTTTTTGGAGAAGTAGTAGTGGTATAGTACTCCTGAAATTTAACGTTGTTTTATAAATACAACATTTACAGTCTCCTCAACTCATCTACATTAATAACCTATTTCTGGAATCAGTTTTAAGCAATGATTGTGATGAAAATTATATCTAGATATTACTCTGATTAAGAAATATCCTGATCAACCCGATGGATGCAACTCCTTTTGGAACCGATATCGATAAAGTTGGACTCAACAAATCTAAAAGTGCAATGGTTGAAGATAAACTGTCATTCCTTGAAGGAAAACAATATATGATAGCATGTTACATGGAAAAGAAAATAATGCAGTTCATAATAATTCAAGCATATGTCACCTACAGTTGTGTGTTTAATATTTTTATATGAATTTTAATCTTTAATACTTCAGACTGTATTTGCAATACTACACAATACTTACCCTGCTTTTATAATAAAAAGGAACTGAACAACTGGAATTAGTTTGAGTAAATCATAGGACATAAACAGGCCCACAGCCCGTAAAAACTTGAACACCACCAAAAGAATCAGATAAGGACTTGCCCTGCAATCAAATAATGTTATAAGACTTTAATACATACAGAGCATGCATTATTTAAACAAGTATGACATATTTCATGTTCAAATGAGTTTTTGCTAATTACAGATTAGCAGCTTTTTGAATCAATTAAAGAATTTTTTTTTCTTTGGGCATTGTAATACATGTACCAAGTCAGCAAGGTCATTGAAAAGGAGAAACTCTTCATAATAACAACCATTGTCTTTAATTTGCAGGTTTAAGTTCATGCAACTGACTTGAATTCAATATGTATAGTTGAAATCATATGATTGGAATGATTTGTGAAGTGCCATTAATATTAGTTAATTTGGGGTAAGAATAAGTTTACTTTTTTGGGAATTGATTTTTGTGTTAACCTTAGTGAAATTCCTGGAATGAATTACGATAAGAAACTTGTTAAATTAAAGGCTCTTATTAATGTGTGGGAAAGACGAAGGCTTACTCCTTTAGGTAGAATCAGTATAATAAAATCTTTATTAATTTCCCAGTTCAATTATTTATTTATTACCCTACCAAATCCTTCCAACAGTTTTCTTGGTAAATTGAGCTCTATTTTATTTGATTTCCTCTGGAATGGCAAACAACACAAGATAAAAAAAGACGTGGTCATTCAGAACTACATAGACGGGGGATTAAAAATGATAGATATTGTAGCTTTCATAGATTCTCTCAAACTTGGCTGGATCAGAAGAATATTCCACTCATCAGGGAAATGGAAAATATTATTGAATTCTATTATAGATGAGAAAAAAATGTTAAATTGTGGGATAGAATATGTTAATTCTTGTTGCCTAAATTGTAGAAATCCATTCTGGAAAGATGTATTTAAAAGTATGATTAAACTTACTAACTCGGAACTTTTTAGACAATGTTATATCACATCTGTCTTAAAAAGTCCTTTGTGGTATAATAAAGACATTCAGGTGGGGAATAAATGTGTTTTTTATCCAAGATGGTTTAATGCAGGTATACATACCATAAATGACCTTGTAAAGAATTATGAAGACATGACATTTTATTCTTTTAATGAGTTTGGTAATCTTTTCCCAACAATCAACGCCAACTATCTGCAGTACTTTGGTCTAATTACATCTATGAAGAAATTTCTACGGAAGAATACACTTCAGGTTGTACAGATTCAACAACCTTTCATACCACTTTTTTATGAAATATTTTTCAAAAGTAAAAAAGGTTCAAAGGATTTTTATATTTGTTTAATTAAACGACCACCAATACCAACTGGAATTCAAAAATGGGGGATAGAGTTTGATTTTGATGAACAGAAGAGGAAAAATATTCTAAGAATCCCATTTACTATCACTAAAAACTCAAAACTTCAGTGGTTCCAAGCAAGAATTATTCATCGTATATTGGTCACAAATTCTTTTCTTTTCAAAATTAATTTAAGTCCTAGTCCTTTGTGTAATTTGTGTAATATGGAAAGGGAGACAATTATACACTGTTTGTGGGAGTGTGTCGAGGTGCAGACACTGTTAGAGAGATTTGAATCGTTAATCAACCTTTTCTTTATTCCATTTTGGATGAACAAAGAAACTTATCTCTTTGGTATTCTTTCTCCTACGGCTAATGTAGTAGATAATGAAATTTTGATTATTATTAAACAATATATATACAAGACAAGATGTCTGCACAAAACTCTAAGTTTAAATGGTCTCATAAATACAATAAAAGATCACTTCCGAGTACAAAAATATATTGTTTCCTCTAAAAATTGTCACATAAAAAGGAATTTTGAAAACAACTGGAAAAAATGGAAACCTGTTTTGGACTTATAAATTATATCTTGAGCTACTTTCTCCATTGACCTTGACATCACCACAATTTCAACCATTATTTCATTTTCCTCATTTGACCTATATATTAACTGTAAATGTTAAAATAGACAGTATCTGATAAAGCCCTCCAGCTTGTTTCTTTCTCTCTTCTCCCTCTTCAATCCATTGCCCCTTCTTTCCTTCCCCTCCGCCTCACCCTTTCCCATCTGTCATATGTAATGTGTGTATGATCTTGTGAGGATGTGTGTGTATATACGTGTGAGAGAGGGTGTGTGAGTGTGTGTGTGTGTACTCATCCCATAGAAGGTATGGGCTGGGCCAAATTCCGTAGCCACCTATATTTTCTGTTGGTTAATAGTCTGGATGTTTGATGATGATGATTATGATGATTGATGTTTGATGATGATGATGAGGATTGGTGCTTGTTTGATACATGTAATTCTTTGCGAATGATAATGATATGTTATGTACAATTTAGAGTGAAAATGATGTTAGGCCCTTAAATTGTATGGCGTGTCTGTGTATTGGTGTGTGAGGGCATGTGTGGCTTTGAAAGGCTGCAAGTGAAACATTTATGTTTTGAAAAATCTTTGAAAAATAAAAAATTATAAAAAAAAAAAAAATTAATATTAGTTGTGTACTTTGTAGTTCACATTTCAAGGAACAAATTAATTTGACACATGCTTTATCATCTATCACAATAACAAATAATAGCTCATAATAACTAATATCAATGTAAATTGGGAAAAATAAAAATTACAAATTGGTTGAAGAGAGAGCATACACAGACTGTTAAAGCTATGTAACTCTCTTACTCCAATCAGCTATTGTTTGTTTATGTTAATTAACATTTAAGATCTTACAGGATTAACACTACAGGGGCAGTCATGCATGTCAGTTTCCCTTCCCTTTGTTGCCCTGGGACTAGTCTGAAGGGTTCTAACTATTTATCTACATTTATATTTTTAGCTTGGCCGCTGACGATAGTAAGTATTCCTCCCTTTGTAAAAACGCCTAATGCTAGCAACCCCTGCTAGGATCCGCATTCAGACAATATTTCATATAGTCTACAACAGTGTGATAGTTATACATCATACATCAATGAAATGCTAAAACACTTTTCTCCTTACATGCACTCGTCTCAAAGCAATCAAATGTTGTAAACTAAGTAGTTCCCTCATTTTCATCAACAACTTTACTTTTCCAGGATATCAACAATTGCTGCAACTATACAAAAACTCTCCAAGGCTTGCTTAACACTTGTAGTTATAAAATCCACCATTCCAGCAGATATTTGATTTAATTTTCGTAGGTTTAATTAACAGCCACAAGTCTAATAAGGTTCCGCAGAGTGGTGGCTATTGTAAATATGCTACAAAGTAAAGTGGTTGAGGAAAATAATTTGAAATGCTTAGTTTACAACATTTAATTGCTTTGACACATATCCAAGTTAGTAGAAAAGTTATTTATCTTTTATTCGATATATGATGTGTAACTAACCAGCTGTTGTAAACTATATAAACGGGTAAGGAATTGTATATTCAGCATTACAAATGAAGTCAAGAATGCGCAACGTATTATAGTCTTTACCCTGATGATGGATAAATAGCATGTTTTGGCAAGATGTTGCCATATGATTCCGTCATAATGAAGAGATAGTTGTCGTGCACACAAACTCAAGTCTCTGCGGACAAGAAATGTCTTGAAACACCAATTTTCGTCGCACAGCATTTGTTGTATAAAAGATGAAACAGTATTTTCACTATGGCCTGTTGCATTTTGAAGTCCAGTCCAGATCTGGAATACACATTTTCTGTACAAATTCTACACAAACTGATCATTAACGAAGAACAATATCCATGCAATGTAACGTAGCAAAACACATTGCCAAGTTTACGGAAGTGTCGTTTCAAACCGGATGTAAGTGTAATATAAAAGAGCATGCGTAGCGGAAATGCAAACCGTAATGGCTGCGCCCATGATTAACTTCCCGGAGCATGAAAGAAGATTTTTTTCACTCTTAGTAGAAGAAAGTTATATCGTAGTTGACATTTTTGAGGTCATATCAGAACATATATAGAACATATGTATTGTTTCACGGGGACAAGAAAGAAATTGTATCATAAAAACTAAAGTTGACATTCAGCTGTTTTTTTCATTCATTCCTCTTTTCGTAACGCCACCAGCTAGACTGAATTGAAAAATATACGTATTAGATTTGAAATACTTATAAAATTGAGAGGGAAACAATGTAGCATTCATTGATGGAGTATTTACCTGCTGTTATCATTATGCTGTCGAGTTTTCGATGTGTGGAAAAAAGTAAAAGAGTTTTAATAATATAGAAGGTTTTTGACAATTTGCCAAATGTAGCTTTCAGTCTGTATAGAAAGTGTTAAGCAAAGACAATGGATAGCAGTAATGCTGGACCACTGGTGTTAGAAACTTTGGCTAATGCCAGCAATCAGAATGCATGTGTGTTTAAAATAGCAGAAAAACAGCTCCACGATTGGGAGACTCAACCTGGATTTTATTCCATTCTATCTGTGAGTAAAATTGATTTCTCCCATAGATAATATCTGATCGATTTTGTCGGTCCATTATGATTGTATTAAAGAAAACATTTCCATTTTTGTATTACACACTGTACTTACAATCAGTGTATAATTAGATGTTGTATTTTTTGTTTGCTTTACACTGACTTAGTTACATAGTTTTATATCCTCATCAATACTGGACTGTGGATAGCTTACAGATATTGAAATTATCATGGGTTACTGTGCAATGATCAGGGTTTTTATTGAAGTTTATTTGATAATTGTGTAACAAGCAGTATCTTTATTAACAAATTGTACTTTATAAATTCATTAACTGAAGCTGTCTTTGAATTTGACATCTCCCACATTAATCTAATGAAACATTTCATATTTTAAGGAAATTTTCCGCAACCATGAGGTAGACATTAATGTACGATGGCTGGCTGTGATGTATGTGAAGAATGGAGTGGAGAGATATTGGAGAAAGAATGCTCCTAAGTATGCTAATGATTTTAATTTACAAGGAAAAATGTGATGATAATATCATGATCAAGACTAGTTTAATGCTTTATTTCTTATCTTTACAATCGTTACTTTATACATGTAGAGGACTATGACATATGTTTCATGCATGGCCTGACATTTTAATACTATACATCTATCTCTATTTGATTTCAAAGGAACTGAAAGTCCAGTGAATAGCTACATAAAGAATGTTTCCATTTCAATTAAGATTTCTGAAGAATGACAATTTTGTAATAAGATGTGCTATCAAGTATTTGTGTTTGGGTATTTTCAATGAGAATTGACAAGATGATCAAATTTTGCCAGTGCGATTGCTGAATCAGAAAAGGAAGGAATAAAACAGAGACTGCTGTCTAATTTCACAGAACCTGTACCCCAGGTAGGATACCCATAGAACAAGTTGCATCTGAAAATGACATACACGACACAAGATTGAAGCTGACCTAAACATTGCACTAATTTCGCAATTGTGCAGCCATGACAGTCAGCTGAAATTTACTGGCTGAATGTCTCTAGTTTGGAGTGTTTCTATGTAATAAGAAAATTTCACAAATATTTTCTTTTCAATATTTTAAAAATTATTATACAGAGGCAGACTTAGTATTTGGTCTACTGTTATATAATGGGCAGAAAGCTCCCAAATTTTGCATTGAGTTCTCCGACCGTTGCCCAAGTCTCCATTGTCTGTATTGATTGAATTCCAAATGGTCACACCCTTTGCCTTATGTAATGTGATAGATAATTGAAAGGAAAGTAAAGTTTGCAAAACATTTCTATTTGTTTAGATTGCTATACAGCAAGCTGTGCTGATTGGGAAGATAGCACGATTAGATTGTCCACGGTTCTGGACTAATTTGCTGCCCACACTGTTTCAAGCAGTTCGCTGTCCTGACCATCTCATCCAAGAGAGAGGGCTGTTGACACTGCACCATGTTACAAAGATGCTGGCTTCGAAGAGACTGTCTCATGACAGAAAACTATTTGAGGATGTAAGTTTTAAAAAGATTAATATCACATGTGCATTAAACTGTATGTAAGAAATTAATATTCATTTCAGCTTGAACTGGTGAGTGGTTAAACAGCGTAGAATATTATCAATGGATGGTTGGTTTGTTTTGGGGTTAATCATTTCCATGACTCCACCTAATGATAAGTGAAGTCTCACCAAGGGCTATAAATGTTCTGTTGACGTAAAGGAATGGAATATTTTGAATAGTTTTGGAAGATGGCTCCCAGACCTAATGCTATGTTATCCTGTCAGAGGCATAGATATTGATTGAGTAATTTTCTGTTATACTCTCAAGACATCATAGGGCATCTGTACAAAGTGGTATAGTAGTCAGTGTAGTGATAAAGACAGTGAGACTGCTATATAACTTGTGACATGGTAACCCCACTGGATTAGTCTAAAATTGTGATGACATTTATCTAGTAAACATATTACCATATGATATTGTATTTTTTCAGTTGACAAATGAAATTTTTGGCTTCGTTCTACGGCTGTGGCAGAGTCACTTGCAAGATTTTCTTGAGGCTGCATCAAAACATGATGAAAAAATGGGTCCTTCATTGGACAAGGCTATTCTGGCCTGCAGGAGTAAGTTTTTCCTAATTACATTGATTCCTCTCAAAATACAAATGAAGATTTATGATAGTATAATATATCACAACTACCTAGTTTTATGCAAGAAGTACAAGTTGAGATTTTCATTTAACTTTAAAGTTATATTTTTTCATCAAAAAGATGGTATAGTTTGATACTGAAAACTTAATGATATTTTTTAATCATCTTGCCATGCATACAGTCCAAGCATACTTATAGAAGTTTCTATGAACACATTGATATATCTTGTGACCAAAGAATGGTATCTGTTTGAACCCACAATCATCAGATAAGCTTAAGATCTCAATGTTAAACATGTTTTTGATTTTGATGATAAGATACAGAGGTTATACACTTTTTTAATTATGTATATCATATATTTCAGTTTTACGAAAACAAATTGCCCATGGTTTCAAGGATCCCACCTGCAGTAATGATGCCAGTAATTTCCTAAGCCAAATATTTCCCAGTATGAAGAGCATGCTTGAATGCAGTGAGTATGAACATTTAAGAAAACTATAAGGAAGATCTATGGTGACAATCTAAAGGAACATAAAATTTCACCGTGACACTTCCATATAAGTCTAAGACAACAGTAACTTTTTTGTTTTACATTGTAGGACAGAGTATGTGGGGGAACCATTTTATTCTTGAGAAGTGTGAAAAGATGATAATCCTTCTGACTAAAGTGGTAAGTGGCCAGATATCCATTGCAGGTGATTTTTTTTTATTATTCATCTGTCTCCAGGATTCAGAGGACTATGGGTTTGTTCTGTGTTCACCAATCCTTCAACATTTATCTTGTCCATGCTGCATAAGTTCACCTAGGCAATATGTCAGGTAGGTCACTTTGAGCTACATTTTTAACTTTGACCTACATCAAAGAAAACAGGTTTGTCTGGGACCTACCTCTTACACTAAATGACTTGTGAATGCTAGTCTCATAAGACATGGACCACATAACACAGACCATGTTTGATGTTGTTGCCAACTGTACTTGTATATGCAAATAGATTAAAAACAAGTCTATCATGTACACGTATTAAAATATTTATCAATTTCCAAGGTCACCTTGACCTACGTTTTGACCTACTGAAAGAAAAGATTATATCTATTTCCTGCAATTTTGCCACTAGAACTTCATATTTGGGTCATTAGTTGACCTAGGTGCAGTAAGGTATTATCTATCGAAATAGATCACTTTTGATCTACATTTTGACCTTTGACCTACATCAAAGTGGAAATCTTTATTTGGATTTTCTGTGAGTGTTGGAAGGAGTTGGGTTACTGCTGATTTTGGCAAAAGAGTATCGTAGATGGGAGTTGAGAGTTGTGTACAGAATGAAATTGTAAAGTAATTACTTAAGAAAACTAGATGAGCTTCCAAATGATTAGTTTTGTGTATTTCAGCTGCTGGACCTACTGGAGTTACATCCTGTTGCCTACACAAGCCTTATTAGGCCAACTTTAGAGTTTGCTGTCAGTTACAACTTCTCGGAAAATGATAAAGGTAATAAACCAAGAGGATGAATATAACACACTCTCCATTGTGGAGACATTACAGTAATTTTGGTTTGACAATACAACAGGTCTCCATGCCAAAGCATTGATTAAGTTACTTCATTTTGAGATTTCCACAGGAGATTAATTTTCACAAAGTCATCAGTTAACCAATTATAATCTTCCACAGATAATTCCATTAGTAATCACTAATCAAGCAGCATCCTCTGACAGACATATTTAGGATTCTATATTTCAGCATAGCTTATACATGTATGTAGACATGAAATTAAAAAGACTGCTTGGTATTGCCTTGTTTAGTATTGCCTTGTTGTACAAAATTCACAGTAAGACCATAATGACAGATGGAAATTATTATATAAATATATTGATTGCTATGAATAATGTAAATGCAAATTTTAAATACTGACAATTTCTACAAAATCTGACATTTCACTGATATGTTTTTATCGTCAGGACTGTTGTTTGAACGATTCACTGTAAACACCTTTAACTTGATCAAGGGAATACTGCAGAACGAAATGTACAGACCTTTAAAGAATGAGGAAGGTTGGTGTTTGTAGACATTGAGAATTTAATCTCAAACGAAATACTGGTGATATATATCACCTTGAACTAATGACATTAATTGGTATTGCATTTGATCAAGAAAAAGAAAAACGAAAAAAAGCACACACACACACACACACACACACACACACACACACTTGTTTGGCCAATTGAGCTTATGCCGTGGCGCATTGTCTGTTGTCAAGTTTTTTCTTTAAACAACATCTTCTCAATAACCAATAGACTAAATGTTTTAATATTTGGCTGGTATGTTCCTAGAATGAAGCCCAACAAAGTGCACAAAAAGAAATTACCTTGACCTATATTCAAGGTCACAGGAGTCAAACTTGTTAAACCTTTTAAATGCCTTCTCCTCATGACCTAAGAGGTCTAGAGGCATGCTAGCTGGCTGGTATGTTCTTAGGATGAAGGCCAACAAAGTTTGCGGAAAGAAATGACCTTGACCTTTATTCAATATACCAGGTGATAGTTGAAGGCCCATTGGGCTGATTGTTTGTAAATAATGTGAATATCAATCTTCTGCAAATAATTTCTTGTAACATGCAGAAGGAAAAGTAAATGCCTCATATCACAAATGTGTTGACTGTTTTTCTCTCTTGTCACTACTATCTATTAAAAGGATTTTTTTAATTCAATGTTGTATAATTTGGCAATTTTACAGTAATTAATTTTTGTTTCCTTAAAGAATCTCAGGAGCCCATGAGGCAGGAAGCATTCAAGATGAAGGCAGAATTCTTTAACCATGGGACATTGTCGGAGATATGTCGCCGTCTGGTGTCACAGTACTTCCTCCTGTCAGGAGACGACTTATCCACCTGGGACACAGACCCTGAGGAGTTTTGTATGTTGTCAATCACACTGTATAAAGGTCACACAGGTTTTAGGTCGGTCATCTTCATCCTCAGTTGGTGGACTTTTCAAATTGCTTTTTTCTATGTTCTGACTGTCCTGCCAGGTGTCCACTGTGCTATTTAACCATTATGGACTTGTTTGATAAAGATATTGCCTGGATGACTTGTGATGGGCATTCAGTATGTTGTTCATCAGTCATCCGCTACTACAGGGAGACTGTAATAACCCAGGCTACTCAAAGCGTGAAACACTGATAGGTTTCAGTCAGTTGACCTAGCAGCATGGAGTTATATTTTGTTAGGGTTATGACATTAGATCATGTTTATTCTATAGATTTAGTCTCAGCAAATGAAGGATATAAAAGTATTTGTTATCTTGTTTTAGGTCAAGAAGAGGTTGGAGACTCCTACAGATATTCTATACGAGTGAGTTGATATTGAACACTATTAGCATAATGCCTTACCGGATGGGTTTGGTTATTTCTACAGGTTAATGTACATACATAGAAAGTAAGAAGACAAAATTGCATAGAACCATGTCAGTACATTGTTTTGTACTCCCACACAATTATAACCAAATCACTTAAATGGCATTTCTTCATATATATCATCACTGTTATTATTCAAAATCTCTGAAGAATGCAGATGCTTGCACATTACAATTGAGACCACCACTGTTAGAGTGATACATGATGACAAATTGTTTCACATGATATTATACAAGTGAGTTCCTCTTATTGTGTATCTTTGTATTTCCAGCCATGTACAGAATCACTCTATATAGCATTATTTAAGGAGTATCGCTCCTCCCTGATCCCAGTACTCTTACAGATGGTACAATCTGTTCAGGCACCTTGTGATCCGGAGGATATGGCAGCGATTCTTCGGAAAGATGGAGGTATGATATGACCAGCTTCTCTTGATTCATGTTTTCTTTTACACAAGTCAGTTGAGGAAGCCAAAACCAGTATAGTGATACATACATATGTTTCTATGTACTTCTTTTTGTCCTAGCATTTTACTGGAGGGAGATGGAGGGGGGAAGGCATACATGAAATCATGTTACTCATGGCTGACAGTCATGTCCCTTTCCCTTCAGAACCTCTCAACAGATTTGGTTCACATATACCCAGTAATACCTTAACATCAAGTTCTACACCTAATCAGATTCTGGTTTGCATTGGAGCAGGGACATCTGTGTTAGATACTGCTGAATCATTTATTAAGCTTGATATTGACTATCAGTGCAGGAAAAAGAATATTTGGATAAATGTAGCATAAATAATAATGCAATGTGGAAAAATCTATCAAATGTTTTGAAAATATTTCTTTCTTGCTAGCAAGTTTGTTTGTGTATTCTAGTGTACAATGCTGTCGGTCTAGCCTCTTTTGAACTGTTTGATGAAATCAACTTTGATGAATGGTTTGCCTCCCATCTGCGACAGGAGCTGCAAATAAAACATGTCAAGTAAGGACGTAACACTTTACAATAATAAATTTAGACCAGTAAGGATGTAACAGGACACTTTACAATAATAAATTTAGACCAGTAAGGATGTAACAGGACACTTTACAATAATAAATATAGACCAGTAAGGATGTAACAGGACACTTTACAATAATAAATATAGACCAGTAAGGATGTAACGGGACACTTTACAATAATAAATATAGACCAGTAAGGATGTAACAGGACACTTTACAATAATAAATATAGACCAGTAAGGATGTAACAGGACACTTTACAATAATAAATATAGACCAGTAAGGATGTAACAGGACACTTTACAATAATAAATATAGACCAGTAAGGATGTAACAGGACACTTTACAATAATAAATATAGACCAGTAAGGATGTAACAGGACACTTTACAATAATAAATATAGACCAGTAAGGATGTAACAGGACACTTTACAATAATTTAGACCAGTTTGACTTGTATTAGTTGATATCAGTACAATAGAACAACTTTGTGTAAGAAACTTTGAACATGATATCGCCTCAAATCCACATTCTTATATTAATGTTTCTTCTAATGAAATAGAATTTTGTGCGCCACCTTATCTTGTTTTTCCTAAACCAAGCAAAATGTTCCTCATTCATGTACTTATGAATTACAAAATCTACATAAGCACCACATATTTAATCTATAAATGATTATCAAAATTTTGAATGTTTGGTTGAATTTTAAAAGCTCATTCATATATATAAAAAAGATCTATTGATACAAAATAAATGGATCTGGACAGGGCCATTGGGGTTCAGTGTTCTGTATATTTAGATATTCTGGTTAAGATTATATCGGTATTAGAGAAGTTGTTATCTTATGCTGTTTGTCTTGTTTGTGTTTAACAGTTACCGGATTATTCGCCGACGAGTGATCTGGCTGTGTGCCCAGTGGGTGGGTGTGAATATGGCTGTGGGGACACGCCCACTTTTGTACCAGGCTGTACTCCCTCTTCTTAACAACGAAGAAGATCTGGTGGTACGGATAGAGGCTTCACTTACCCTTAAAACTGGTATCCTTTGTCACTGTGTAAATAACTGTGGAGGTCACACTGATGAAATGTGATGTCATTTCAGTACATTTGCCTGGCTCCAGTTAATACCAGAGATGTTGATATAGGTTCCATCATGTTATTCAAATATTCACCAAATCAATATTTCCAAACATTTTCTTCAGGTTGGTAATGTCAATAGAATAGAGGTTCTTTTAACATAACCAGCAGAAGATTTGAGTGTGATATTTTGATGACTACATAGTCACCTTCACCAGACAATTGACCATTGTGAAGCATAATATCACTGACGTCTGTAGTGTATAAGATGGTAAGGAATCGATCAACTTTTTTGGTTGTACTATAATCTTATGTACACTATGGTAAAAAAAAGAGTGAAGAGACGGTAAACAGATTATAGACAATACATCAAGTTAAAACCAAATATTTAAAAATATTTTAGTATTAATCTTTCTAATTCATAGCACCAAAAGATTGTGTATTGGTACAACATCTATCAAGATACTCATTTGAAGTTAATTGGTGATATTTGGCTTTTTTAACCTCAGAATTAGAGTTTTGCCTCTTGTTAAAATTTTTTGTCTGGAGCATAACTTTGCATGCATTTAAGGTCGGAGGTTGAAACTTGGTGTATACATTGATCATACAAAGACAATGTACAGTTCTAGTTGTGTAAATTTGTACCCTTTGAAATTAGAAGATCATGATTTTCAAGGATTTTGACATTACCAACAATGACTTGAAAAAAATACTTGAAATTAAAAACCTAAAATCAACAGTTGTTTGGCTTGTACATCATGAGTTCATCATATTTACTGTCTGGCTTTTAGCAATTACAGAATAAGTTGGATTCTGGGTGATTTTTGTTTTTGTTTTCATTGAGATGTATTTTGTATGGAAATATTATTAAATCCTTGACTTTAAATCAGCTGTGGATGATTTTGAATTTAATGTTGATCAGTTTTTACCTGTAAGTATCGACTCTTTCCAGTACTTGAATCACTATTTTATCCATGCAGTAGCTCATCCTTGTAGATTCTGATCATTTCACATGCTCAAGTTATTGATTTACACAGGTATACTTTGTAATATGTGAAATTGAGAAAGAAAATTCCTGTGTCAATAATGTCAAAAGTGATGATATCAGCACAGGCTGCTTGAGCAATAAACAGCAATTTATTCTACATTGAATGTAATATATGTTTCATCTCAGTGTGACAACTGATATAAAAGTTTGTTTCCTTTAAAATTTCAGTTGTCATAGTTTAATCCACAGTAGGATAGTCTAGTTTAGGTTACATTGTAGTGTATGGAGTAATGATTTTACTAACAAACTGTATCTTCCCTTTACAGTATCTTAATGCTTCCTTCTCTATGTTGTTTGAACTTCTGCAAGAAGTGCGTGAATGTGATACAAAGGTAAGTGGTTTTTGTTTGGTTGATTAATTATTTGTCTTTTCGACTAGGGTAAAAAAACTCACCAGAAAAACTTCAGAACTTCATCTGTCCGTGAAATATTCTGTAAATATTCATAATTTGTGAAATCTACATGGGTTTTAGTCACACTTTGGGGGACTTGAAGGTAGAACTTTAAATTGCTTGAAAGAAAATTGAAATCTTACCTTTATGCTGTTTGTTACTTCAGATGCAAGTGCTACATGTGATATCGTTTGTGATAGAGAGGGTGGGGGCCCAGATCCGGCCCTACACCACCTCCCTCATCCAGTACCTACCGTCCCTGTGGCAAGAGTCAGCTGACCACAACATGTTGCGATGTGCTATTCTGACAACTCTCATACACATTGTACAGGTAAAAACTGACCACTCTTACATGTTGTCAAGGTAAAGGTGGCTATTCCCATAAACAGTGCAAAGACAAAAGTGAAAAAAAAGAGAGTATCCACTCCAATTCACTTTGTGCAGGGAACTAGATACAAAAAGTTGCATTATGAATTTATGTTTGACACTGTTGTTGGATGCTGTATATCTGTTACACTGCAGCATTTTAAACCTGACACTATAATGTTATTATACATATCTCCACAGGGATTCGGGTCTCTCAGTACATAAATATTCTACACTATCTCCACAGGGATTTGGGTCTCTCAGTACGTAAATATTCTACTATATCTCCACAGGGATTCGGGTCTCTCAGTACATAAATATTCTACTCTATCTCCACAGGGATATGGGTCTCTCAGTACATAAATATTCTACTATATCTCCACAGGGATTCGGGTCTCTAAGTACGTAAATATTCTACTATATCTCCACAGGGATTCGGTTCTCTCAGTATGTAAATATTCTACTTTATCTGCACAGGGATTCGGATCTCTCAGTATGTAAATATTCTACTTTTTCTCCACAGGGATTTGGGTCTCTAAGTACGTAAATATTCTACTTTATCTCCATAGGGTTTTGGATCAATCTGTTCCAACATGTATGACTTCCTGCTGCCGATTATACAGATAAGCACGGATGTAACACAAGATCAGCACATCTACCTAATGGAGGATGGCCTTGAACTCTGGCATGTGACCTTGTTGAATGCTCCTAACATAACCGAACAGCTTTTACAGCTATTTAAAAACATGTCAGGCTTGCTAGGTATGTAATTGCAGTCTCTTATCTGTCCCTTATAAGCCATTTTAATTGTTTAAAAATGGTTTTTAACTATACTGTAGTGGGTAATGTGGGTATGGACAGAATACCTTTCCTTTGATCTAATGTTGTGTGACAGTGTCAGTTTGAACAATATTCAATTCAGTAAATCAACAATATTTCACATACATATGTTACATAAGGGGATAGAAAACAAACTTCAAACTTATAATTTTATTTCCTTCATGCCAAAGTTTAAGACAGATAACTCTCACCCATATAATCTGAGATTTGGGAACAAATCATATTATAGCAGTGCAGTATGCGTCTGAAACAGGAAAAAATTGTATCTTTCAACATCTACAAAAGTCCACTAAACAGTGTAACTCTATACAGAATAAGATGGTAAATTTTAAACGGCTAATTCCAAACTTAATGAAAAGGAACACTTACTCCAATAGTTATCTCTTGGTTGGTATGCTTTGTTAATGAGAGGGGCTGAAACTCACTTTTATCAAAACTTTCCTAGCCAAAATCAGACACACATGAAGAAGAAATGATAATGTTGAGATGATTGAAGAGCAATAACCAAAGGTTTCATAATTCACCGACATGTCTAAAATCGCCTTCATTTCAAAACAGTTCCTTATTGCATTTTTTCACATCAAGACTTAATATACACTATCCTCTGTTGATATTACATTCCTAACTTAACCTTGCACACATCTATAAGGTATGGTAGGTGTACTATATCAATCAGGCATTTGGTGCTATTTTATGTTGTACTTGACATTTGCGAGGAGACTGAATCAGCTGTTTGTCATAAATCTGTAAGTGTTTACTTTCATCCAAAAGCTAACAAAATTGTGAGAAGAAATTGTTTGAATGTGTACATGTAATTAATTAAGCCTGTTCCAGTGTTTTAGTTTAAATTGTCTGTTACAAGTTTATTTGGAAATGATGAAGCAAAGGCAAAGCTTCTGTTTTAAAGAATGTTAAAAAAGTAATGATGAGCTATATTTAATTAGAGATGAAATATTGTCAGGTATTTTAAATTTCAGCATTTGCTAACAGCAAAAGTATTGTATACAACTGTTTGTTTATAATTATCATCTTATCTTGTAGATCTTGGAACGGAAAACCTTCGGATGTGCCTCAAAGTGATACAGGCTTATATAGTGCTGGGTCCCAGAGATTTTATGCAGGTATGGAAATTATAGGAGTGATACAATCTTATATACTGTATCATGTAGTGTTGTGTCCATGATACTTCTTGCTGCCTATATATTGCTGGGTCCCAGAGATTTCATGCAGGTATAAAGATTGTAGGAGTGAAACAAAGCTATATAGTGCTGGGTCCCAGAGATTTCATGCAGGTATAAAGATTGTAGGAGTGAAACAAGGCTATATAGTGCTGGGTCCCAGAGATTTCATGCAGGTATAAAGATTGTAGGAGTGAAACAAGTCTATATAAAGCTGGGTCCCAGAGATTTCATGCAGGTATAAAGATTGTAGGAGTGAAACAAGGCTATATAGTGCTGGGTCCCAGAGATTTCATGCAGGTATAAAGATTGTAGGAGTGAAACAAGGCTATATAGTGCTGGGTCCCAGAGATTTCATGCAGGTATAAAGATTGTAGGAGTGAAACAAGGCTATATAGTGCTGGGTCCCAGAGATTTCATGCAGGTATAAAGATTGTAGGAGTGAAACAAGGCTATATAGTGCTGGGTCCCAGAGATTTCATGCAGGTATAAAGATTGTAGGAGTGAAACAAGGCTATATAAAGCTGGGTCCCAGAGATTTCATGCAGGTATAAAGATTGTAGGAGTGAAACAAGGCTATATAGTGCTGGGTCCCAGAGATTTCATGCAGGTATAAAGATTGTAGGAGTGAAACAAGGCTATATAGTGCTGGGTCCCAGAGATTTTATGCAGGTGTAAAGATTGTAGGAGTAATACAATCCTATATACGATGTCATGTAGTGTTGTGTCTATGATACTTCTTGCTGCCTATATAGTACTGGGTCACAGATGTTTCATGTAGGTTTAGAGATTATAGGAGTGAAACAAAGCTATATATTGCTGGGTTCCAGAGATTTTATGCAGGTTTACAGATTGTAGGAGTGATACAAGGCTATCGAGTGCTCGGTCCCAGATATTTTATGCAGATATAAGGATTGTAGGAATGAAAAAAGCTTATATACTCTGTGTTAGAGTCAGTTCTGTGTCCATGAGACTTTTTGCAGCGTATACAGGGCTGGATCCATATGATTTCGTGCAAAAATTAGATATGATAAAGCTAAATTATGACTATAACTATAAGCCATTACTGGGGAGAATGATATTAAAGCCATCATGATAATGATGTGGAAAAGAAGCCACTGTCATCCCCCCCTTCTTCCTCAGTCTCTTATGTCATGTAAAATGTCAATAATGTGGGCCTTCTCTTGTATTAACAATTAACTGAGTCAGACATAGTGAAATACCTAGAAACATTCCATGATATGGACTAGTGAATTCAGATACACCCAAGTGCTTTCGTGTTTTAGATCAACAAATAAACAAATTCTTTGTGCAATACTCCATGTAATATCACAAGAAGTCTTTGGTTTTGTTTTCAGAGGTTTTCCTCAGAATTGGCTTCCTCTCTAACAAGTTTGTTGACTGATCTTCGTACCGAGGGTATTGTTCTCATTTTACGTGTGAGTATTATGTTTAATAATGATTTATCATCTAATCCTGCCTTCTCGTAGAATTAGCCAAAGAACAAAAGTTAAATTCTGAATCCTTTGAAGTTTGACTTGGTCTCTCAGTGTGTTTATATGATTTGAAATAATCCTGTGTTATCTGGGATAAATATTTCATAAACATAGTATTAAATGTTTATATTCCCAGGTGATAGAACTTGTCTTTCAAAGCTTCCCTTCAGAAGGTCCTGAGGTATTCCGTCGACTTTTACCGAGTCTTCTGAAGGCTGTTATAGAAGGGGAGGTAAGTACAAGTCCTGAGGTTTTATGTAAACTTTTACGGGGTCTTCTGAAGGCTGTTATAAAAGGGGAGGTAAATACAAGTCCTGAGGTATTCTGTCGACTTTTACGGAGTCTTCTGAAGGCTGTTATAGAAGGGGAGGTAAGTACAAGTCCTGAGGTTTTCTGTCAACTTTTACAGGGTCTTCTGAAGGCTGTTATAGAAGGGGAGGTAAGTACAAGTCCTGAGGTATTCTGTCGGCTTTTACTGAGTCTTCTGAAGGCTGTTATAGAAGGTGAGGTAAGTACAAGTCCTGAGGTTTTCTGTCAACTTTTATGGGGTCTTCTGAAGGCTGTTATAGAGGGGGAGGTAAGTACAAGTCTTGAGGTATTCTGTCGACTTTTACTGAGTCTTCTGAAGGCTGTTGTAGAAGGGGAGGTAAGTACAAGTCCTGAAGTATTCTGTCTTTTACCAAGTCTGGTGAAGGCTGTTGTGGGAGAAGAAGTTAGTTTGAACACTTTTTCTTAATTATCATAACACCTAAAAATACCTCATAAATTTTACGCTGCAGTTTGCAGGAAGATACTATTTACTGTGTACCTTATACAAAATGTACAAATTAGAAGTATGGTAATAGATATTAAGTACAGTCTACGGACAGGAACTGTTTAATTGCTACAAGAGCGGGACAGATATTGATCTCGTTGACAGTTTCTTATGAAGACTTTGGGGCATTGTTTGTTATTTTGACTTTGATTCTTTATTCCCACAGGAACACCCTATGGTTCTAACTGTCTATCTGGGACTGTTTGCCAGAATACTCCTTCAAAATCCGGAATTTATGTGGAAATTCCTGAATGAAGTAGCTCCAGAATTTGGTAAAACAGTAAGTTGTCAGAGATTCTGAAAGGGTTCATTTTAAACAGATAAATATAATGTAAGAAAACAATATTTTTGAGATTTCTTGAAATGTGTAAATGGAGATGTTAGTACTAGATATAATGCTGATTTTCTGTCTCTGTTTGTATGTTTGATATTTTTAGGTCATCTGGACCCGAAGGGTCCGATGACCTATAGTCATCATGCTTCGTCCGTCGTCGTCCGCCGTCCGCCGTCCGCCGTGCGCCGTCCGTAAACTTTTCATTCAAACGACTTCTTCTCAATAACCAAAAGGCTCAGATTGCTGATATTGTGCCTGTGGCATGCTGGGATGAAGGGCTATCAAGTTTGTTTAAATGAATGACCTTGAACAACTTTCAAGGTCACAGGGGTCAAATATGTCAAAATCTTTAAATAACTTCTTCTCAAATACTAGAAGGCCTAGGGGGCTAATACTTGGCCCATAGCATGCTGGCATGGAGCCCTACAAAGTTTGTTCAAATGAATGACCTTGGCCCACTTTCAAGGTCACAGGGGTCAAATATGTTAAAATATACAAAGGACTTCATCTCAATAAGCAAAAGTCTATGAGTGCCGATATTGGGTCTGTAGCATGCTGGGAGGAAAGGCTACCAAGTTTATTTAAATGAATGACCTTGAACAACTTTCAAGGTCGCAGGGGTCAAATATGTCAAAATCTTTAAATAACTTCTTCTCAAATACTAGAAGGCCTAGGGGGCTAATACTTGGCCCATAGCATGCTGGCATGGAGCCCTACAAAGTTTGTTCAAATGAATGACCTTGGCCCACTTTCAAGGTCACAGGGGTCAAATATGTTAAAATATACAAAGGACTTCATCTCAATAAGCAAAAGTCTATGAGTGCCGATATTGGGTCTGTAGCATGCTGGGAGGAAAGGCTACCAAGTTTATTCAAATGAATAACCTCAACCCACTTTCAAGGTCACAGGGGTCAAATATGTTAAAATCTTTAAACAACTTCTTCTCATTAACCAAAAGGCTCAGAGTGTAGATATTGGGCCTGTGACATGCTGGGATGAAGGACTACCAAGTTTGTTCAAATGAATGACCTTGACCCACTTTAAAGGTCACAGGGGTCAAATATGTTAAAATCTTTAAACAACTTCTTCTCAATAACCAAAAGGCTCAGATTGCTGATATTGTGCCTGTGGCATGCTGGGATGAAGGGCTATTAAGTTTGTTTAAATGAATGACCTTGAACAACTTTCAAGGTCACAGGGGTCAAATATGTCAAAATCTTTAAATAACTTCTTCTCAAATACTAGAAGGCCTAGGGGGCTAATACTTGGCCCATAGCATGCTGGCATGGAGCCCTACAAAGTTTGTTCAAATGAATGACCTTGGCCCACTTTCAAGGTCACAGGGGTCAAATATGTTAAAATATACAAAGGACTTCATCTCAATAAGCAAAAGTCTATGAGTGCCGATATTGGGTCTGTAGCATGCTGGGAGGAAAGGTTACCAAGTTTATTTAAATGAATGACCTTGAACAACTTTCAAGGTCGCAGGGGTCAAATATGTCAAAATCTTTAAATAACTTCTTCTCAAATACTAGAAGGCCTAGGGGGCTAATACTTGGCCCATAGCATGCTGGCATGGAGCCCTACAAAGTTTGTTCAAATGAATGACCTTGGCCCACTTTCAAGGTCACAGGGGTCAAATATGTTAAAATATACAAAGGACTTCATCTCAATAAGCAAAAGTCTATGAGTGCCGATATTGGGTCTGTAGCATGCTGGGAGGAAAGGCTACCAAGTTTATTCAAATGAATGACCTCAACCCACTTTCAAGGTCACAGGGGTCAAATATGTTAAAATATACAAACGACTTCTTCTCAACAAGCAAAAGTCCATGAGTGCTGATATTGGGCCTGTAAGATGCTTGGAGGAGAGGCTACCAAGTTTGTTCAAACGAATGACCTCAACCCACTTTCTAGGTTTGGCTTGCTTTTTGTCAGATGACCGTTAAGGCCCATGGGCCTCTTGTTTATGTATCATTACAGAGTGAAGCATTGCTGGGTAACATTGTGGATATGTGGGTGAATAAGATAGACTGTATTGCCCAGCCAGAACGACGCAAACTGATAGCGCTTGGAGCTTGTTCACTTCTGTCACTCAAACTGAGGTTTGTGTCTGTAAGAACATAGTTCTGGGGACCAGTTCACTGCTGTCCTTAAAGCACCTCATTATCAAAATATTTTACTGGATCAACTTATCAATCTAGAAAAGTCTACTAGGTTAATACTTTTTGAAAGTTTTTTACCAACTTTCACTTTGGTTAAGATTTATATTGTTAAGAATTTGAAACCTTGCATAGATGATAGCAACGTTTTCTTTAACTGGCAAACTTTAAGTTCTAGATGTGAATATATAAGGGCAGGAAATAATAACTGCCATCAGTTTTTATAGAATTTATTTTCTTCTATTTGATAGCACTGTGATGGAGAAGTTTGCAGGAATTGTATGTCTGAGTGTAGAGGTCTTACATGATGTTAGCACCATTCCTGTGGATGAGGACGCTGCGCTACAACTAGAGTGAGTTTTAACACAGCTGTACAGCAGGATTGATCTGAAACAAAAAAGGGAGCTAGCGTTTTCTTAATGCTGACTTTTGCATTACAATGTTTGTGATAATTAACAAAATTTCATTCTGTGATTTTCCAAAAAATTTCTGAAACATTTCTCTATATGCAACTCTTTAAAATGGAAAGTGTCCATCAATCTTAAAAAGTTGCCAATATTTAGCAAGAGCAAATATTCAGTTTTGAGAAATAATCATTTTATTATTTGAATTCCGTCCTTGTATGTCCAATGATGAAACCCCGTAATATTCAATTGAAAACTTTTTATAGGTGCTGTAATGTACTTACATGTAGTATACTTCAAAATTTATTTTTTGTATACATAAAAAAATAATGTTTTTTACAGTAAAAGTATCAAGTATAGTTGAAATCAAGACTGAAATAAAATTCATTAAGTGCTGTTTCTGGTTTGGTAGCTCCTTGGTGTTGTCTGACCAGGATGACACTACAGAAGATGGTGAGCAAGAGACAGAACATGACAAACGCAAGAGGATGGTAAGTTGCATTGTATCACCTGACTACAGAAAAAATTCTAAAATTTACTGAGAAGGTTCTTATTTTTGATATTCAAATCTTATTTATCTATTTGTAGAAAATAGTTTACAAGAAACCTCTTCAAAATAAGCAACTTTATGATATCTAAGTCATATGCTCATAGTTGAGGATTTAATTGAGGTTTTTAGGGGGACAGAAGTTTCTACGTATACACCTTACTTTAAGTATCCTTTGAGTATTGGTCTTGAATGGAAGACTCTCTGGATTTTTGAATTTAATTAGTGATTAGCAATTGAAACAAGATAATTTATACTCACAATTTTGCCTGAGAAATTTCTGTCATGATGGCAATAGGCATTATTGTATTTTTAAAGTTATTTTGTTACAGTTGTGCCGACAAGACCCAGTGCACATGGTGCCCCTGAAGGAGTATGTCCTGTCCCAGTTAACTGCCTGTCAGCAGCTACACGGCCAGGTCACCTTTGACAAACTCATGTCCCAGGTCGACCCAGAAATTCTCCAACAGCTGCGCGAGTTCTCTGGCTGAGTGTGGTGCTTTTCAAAGTGGTTATTGTACCCTAGAATGAATGTGGAACTTTTGATTAATTTATTCCATTACCTGTTACTTTTGTGCTGTTGTCTCAGCAATCTTTTCTGTTCATAGTTGAAATTCACAGAGGTTATTTCATCAACTGAATGCTTGTCAGTCTCAATATCTGAAAAGGACATGTAAGTTATTTGACATTAGTTGAAATTTTCCATTTTGCAGAAGATATGGAGTTTCAAAATTTAAATTCTGCAGACAGAACAGCATTGGAGAGTGACTGTGTTTGTTCAGAATACAACTAAGATAAATATTTTCAGTGAAGTATCTAAGAATGATGTTACAAGTTTGTTTGTGTTCAAAGTGAATGTACTGTGGTGATTGTGTGTAGGAAATGAAGTGCACCACCAGAGGTGTTCAGGACAGCTTTATGTACTGTAAATTAAGTCTTTCATTCAATTTCTAGCCTCATAGATATGTTGATATCATTCTACCAAAAAATTCATGCATTACTGAAGGGGAGATTCAAAAAAAAATTGTGAAATGTGGGTGACCTACCCTGGTATATACTGACAGTAGATGACTGAAGAAATGAGGGGCATGATATGGCGGTTTTACTAGATGTTTTATTTTCAAATACAGAAAGGAAAGCATTCCATTGGAATTAAAAAATGAAATGGCTGGATATGTGATAATTTTAAGATTTAGAAAGTAATTGAATCACTAATTTTTAAAAAGTATTTTTGCTTGATGTGTTTGTGATTTTATATGCAAATTATTTCATTAAAAATGTATAATTGTCCATTTATGATTAATTAAATGACTACTCTGTATATGCTTATATGAAATATGTTTTGTCATACTGCAAAGAAAGTGGCTATGTCATTGTTTTTGCCTTAGTAGATAAACACTTTTGTCATCTCCAGATTATTTTAGGAATGTTAACACACATGCTATTTAACTGTCAAAGTCAACAATTTTCCCATTCAGGAAACAGTCCTTTTTTTTAGTGGGCATAGGGTGTGGTCTGTGGTAAATAGTTTTATGTCATTATGATGACTTTACAGTATAAATTTGTTATACAGGGCCTTGGCAGGGTTTACATCCCCATAATCCTTGCCAGCTAGGATATTATGTACCCTGCCAAACACCTGTATAGGCTAAGATTTTTCATATACCTTGATATCAGTTTTGAAGCTTAATACTAATACAGTATAGGAAATTGACAAATTGCATTTATTTACTGTTTTCCACACCTACCTATGAAATAGCCAGTGCTTAAGTGTGTTCAGTATTTGATCCTCTTTGGCTGTGATCAACAAGTTTGTAGTGTAACCAGTATCTTTTAATGTGCACTCGAGACACTTGAATTGAAAAAATTAATAATGCAGGAAGGTGTATACAAATATTAATGTTATAGATAAAACAGATTTCCAGAGCTATATACATTTTTACGATATATAAATAGAAGCTTTGAAGGATGTACATTTACATAAGAATTGGAAGTTAGGTAGAAAGGGTATTTCCACGAGAAATCTTAATTGATGCATTGTTTATTGAAATAAGATTGATGGTGTAATTGATACTGCTCCAGGTTACAAGTCTGAGTAAAGAAAAATACAACTAATGATATCAAGCTTCAGGTTTATGAAACCATAGGGATGCCCAGTGATGAGTTTCTAATTCTCTGGCCATCGTTTTGTAACTGAAAGAAATGTTTCATTAAGGAATGGTTTAGTACAAGATGATTTAGGTAATTTACAAAACTTAGATGATATAATACTCATATACTTGTATATATAGGTATATCCTAATTCATTACTGTGATAAATAGCTGTTAGTATTACATCATTAATGGAACAATCCTACAGTTGTAAGCTGGGTCCATATACTTTACAGACTGTCACCATACCTCTTCATAAAATTCAACTCTGGTTACAATGATAGTTACAACTGTAGATTTAATGAGCTAAAAGAAAGCCGTTGTGAAACTGATTAATAATTATACACCTGTAATTAATCTCCTGTATTAGAGTCTTTAAAACAGATGTTAGACAAATTTGTCTGATCTTGTATGTTGAAGGGTGCTGATACAATTCTATCATCATGTTATGTTTCTGTGACTATACCAAACTATTTCGTCCTTTTGTCAGAGCTTGATATGTACTTCAATATACTACATTAGTTATAATGATATTGTACATCACTAGTGTCACCAACTCACATGCTTTTGATGAACCTGATGTTGGCCATATCATGACATCCTTAACTTGTAAAAAAATGCAGGATTCACCTTATATGTCTTATATATCTTCATTTTTGAAACAGTATCTAAAAAAAATCAATTTTTCGATCTAATACAAATGTATAGTGAAAATAATATTCAACCATAGCTTAGAACTTTATCAACATATATGTTAATACATACAAATAGCAATAGAATGTATTGTAGGGTCTTTTTATTGTTGACCCATTAAAACACCCCGTCACTCTTAATTTTGAAGATTATGACAAGATATAAGATGAGAGGAAGTTGGCAACTTTCTCCTTCATTCTCCTAGTCATTTTCTTCATTTCTTTTTTTTTTTTTTGACTTTTCTACAAAGATAGAAAATTGGTTCATTTTGTCACTCAGTTTGTCCTCTTTATAACAGAAATCTATGCCAAAGGAACTCACAATTTTTTGGTGCTATAGATGTGTCCATGTGCTATAGGAAACTTAAAAGTAAACAAGTCCGACCATTATGTTAGCTAGATATGTAATATATATTGTCAGAATTCTATTGTTTTAGGATTCACACACGATATTCATGTTATGTTAATCATCCCTTTGTAAAACATATTGTATTTGTACTTGGATGTCAAATGGTATTTAACTAGCAAATATTCAAGAACTCTTTTTCCTAAATCAAGAACACCAACAAAAAGTTAAACCTTTAAAATGAAACAAAACCAAAACCCAAATTTATTTCAAGAAAAAGATCATGTGGTCATTGTGATGGAATACCTGTATCAATTTGTTGTTCAAAAAGCAGAAATGTGATTTTTAGTCATTGAGCTTATTCCATATTGTTACGTCTGTCTTCTGTCATCCACCAATTCCTTTCCAGATTGATTAAGGTAAAGAGGACTTGTGTAAACAGAGTATATTGTGGTAGGAGTAATGGGCCTGAATTAATGTTAGGGGAGTACAGGTGTAGTATCCAGCTGATTGATAATTGATAGGTTTATCAACCAATCCAGAGATCACGTATCCTGCACAAGAACACAACTTTTGCAGCACACAATGGTCCATGTCTGTTTCCTGAGAGACACAATGATAAATACTTGTATATGGTTATATATGTTAAAATTATAGAAACGTGATGAAGATAGCATAAACAGAAACGATGGCAGGATTGATCTAATTGTTTTGTCCAAATATGGAATCAATTATGAAGCACACCCTATCACACCTACCATTTATATAGAGACAAATATGGACTACATTTAAGTATCCTGTCTCTGTTAGGCTAGAGAAACATTTGTTGTATGAAGGAAAAATGTATAGTTTATCCACGAGATGGGTCCGTCCGGCCCATTTCTCCTGAACAATAAGACATAGATTTTAAAAAAGGCCAGTAAAGGGGAAATATCTGTGATGGAATGTTATTAAGACTGTATTTATCAATCATTAAGCCTATGTCTTGTAATAAGCCTATTAATGTATTACTGTTTATACTTACCAACAAACATTCAATTGTTCTGTAATAAGCCCATCCCCTTACTAAGGGGCAATTGACGTAGTTTGCAACCTGGGATTATAGCTATTCCATGGTCCTGTAGTAAGCCCTGTCCCTGACTAAGAGATGTTTGATGGTCAGTTTACTACCTGGGTTGATTGCTATCCTATGGTTCTGTAATAAGCCCATCCCAAGACTTGTGTTTGATATGGAGTTTACTAACTTTGCTTATTGCTATTTTACCTCATGATTCTGTTATAAGCCTATCTCCTGACTTACAGGCTTTAGCTTACCGTCTGGGAATATTTTGTTATGATTGCCTACATATGGGTGAGAGATACAGGCCCTTTTAGTCGACTGTTTTATCATAGAAAATTGATATTTCAATAGTTAGTTAACTTGCATATAGGTTTCCCTTGATAAATCCATCTTCAATGTAATATTACAATCATGTGAATCTGTGCTTTTATTTCTGTTAATTCTTACTGGTATTTTTAAAAGAAAAAATTAAACTGTAGAATCACTTCTATTGTATCCAAGTTTTCGAGATCAAAAGAATTCTGTCACCTGATGGTAGTGGTTTTAAATACACTCCCATCAGTACACAATAAAACCTGTCCAATTAGATACAGCAGGACATCACACATTAGAGAGATTAATTCTGATATTTACAATGTGAAAAAAATGGTTATACCTTATATTAGATTAGGAGAAATGTTGTGATTACTGGCGAAAAGTGTGATAAAGATCATACATTTTATTGTCCTAATAAAAGTTGTTTTTATGTTCTTCTGTTTTGGTTTATGCTATAATAAACAGAATTCCAATTTCTCCTCTATGTACACTTGTCTTTCTTTTTAGCACCTGTCAGAGACCTTAAGCCACGGTACAGCATCCAACAACTTTTCTCAATGAATGCTTCTCTCAAATAACCAATAAGCCATTGTGTCTGTAGCATCCTGGCATGAAAGGCTACAAAATTTGTTAGAAGTCATTTACCTTGACTGACTTTCAAGGTCACAAGAGTCAAAGCTGTTTACATTTTTAAGCAACTTCTCAATAACTGAAAGGCTTTGATATTCAGCTTGTAGCAAGTTGGGATAAAAGACAACAGATTTTGCCTAAAATCTAATCAGGAGAGAAATTTCGGATAATATTTTACTGTACTTGTTGCACTATGCCTTTAAACTGAATCTGAAGTGAAAAGAAGTTTTTGTCAAATACATATATATAAAAAAAAGAAAATTTAGGGATTTATGGTGCACACCAACACACTGACTCACCAAGGTAAACTTATACCCAAAGTAAGAAGTTCCTGTGATTAGTGGTATAGGAAATAAAGCTTTGAGAAACTTTTTCTTTTATGTAGGGCAAAAGTAAAAAAGTAGGTCACAATGACCTACTTGTGAAATGCACAAAGGTGAACCCATATCCCAAATATTAAGTTCCCCTGATAAATAGTGTAAAAGATTAGGCCTGGACAAGCTTCCTTAGATGTAGTCCAAAGGCCAAATGAATTTCCCTCTTATGATACGCGACACATCGTCTCACCAACATGAACCCATATCCCTAGTTCGAAGTTCCTAAGATTAATAGTGTAAAAAATAGGGCCCAGACAAACTTTTTTTAGGTCACCTGTGACAAAGTCTCGTTCCAATACCCTTCATCGAGCATCATGCATCCGTTAACAATTTAACACTTCCGACTTCTTTTCAAAAAACCCTTGATTCGATTTCAATGAAAGTTTTGCAGACACCTTCCCTGGCCTAAGATGAACCAAAATTGTGAATTATACAGTCCCCACCCAAGGGACCTGAGGGCCAGGGCCAAAAGAGGTTAAATCGACTCCGATTTGAAAAATCTTCATCTCAAGACCCAGATATGGTAGAATCAAATAGTCTTTATGATTGAAGTATCTTAAGGTGCTTTAATAACCCAAATGAGTTTCCTGGAAGGTATAGTTTTTTAGACTTTACTCTAATTTTCAAAGAAAAAGTATTTTTGAGCATAAGAGTTAAATA